CATAGCTTCACGTGCAGACGAGGCTCCACGTCATAGGGGAGTGAGCCATTGAAAGCGTCAACCACAGCACAACCCAGCGACCAGAGGTCCACAGCAGATGTGTATCCCGTGTGTTTGAAGTACAGCTCTGGGGCCATAGAGCCTGCAGTGAGAGCGTGAGACCCCTGGTCTACCAAATTCTACCGTCTCTCAACTTTCAGCACTTGAAGAGCGACAGGCACTTTCCGACTTGCACAACTCGAAAGTTGAAGCCTTGCACTACACTCAACAAATCGGCGACCGCAGCTCCAATCAACGTGTCGTTCATGACACCCCCAGCCTGTGGTGCCAATGCCCTGCCGCGTGCCTGCTACCTGGAAAGGAGCTCCAAGCAAGTGTTCAAAGGATTTTGTCGGAGACAAGTGACAGGTCGCAACATTGACACAACAGCACAATCCCACCTGCAAGTCGTAAAGCCTCAGGTGCGCTGCAGCAACACATGCACCATCATGTAGTCACTCCAGGCGCGCTGAGAGGGAAACTGCATCTTGGCCGCTGAAAAATCGGCAAGCTTCAGGACGCCTAGGACCGCATCATACCGCATCTAGTTGAGGTGGTCAACGAGGCCATCCGGGTCTGACCGGAGCAATCAAGGTCGCATCAGAGCAAGGCACCATCTTCAGAAAGCAGCAGGTTCTCCAGCTTGAGGTCTCGATGGATGGTACGGATGACCTGATAAAGGGCAGTGCATCGCATCCTTGACACTTGGTGAATATGAACGACTGAATGTGTGGAGGGGGGGGGCAAACCCTTTTACCAAGGGACATGTTTCCGAGGCCTGTTGCGCACAGTGCCGAATGTTTAAGAAGCAGGGCTGTGCAGCATCTTGGCATGCTGAACGCAAAGAAGCTGTTGCCAAAGGTGGGAAGGGGTTGAGGGCGCTCGATCCTGCACCTGCTAATTCTCAACGCTGCGCTATGTGCTGCTATGTGTTCAAGCTGCTGTGCAATGCTTTTCTTGGTTTGCAGCCAGCATTCAAGAACATTCAAGATGTCAGTAGTGTCGCCTGGTGGAGCCAGTGAAGGGCGTTGGCCCCGGAGACGAGCACGCGAGCAGCCCAGGCAGCCTGTCGCTGCTTGCAAGCTTTCGCGCGAACACCTTCTTTTGCATTTTCCTGCATCTTCTTGTCCGTTCCACATCGTTCCACCATAGCCCACCTGCTGCAGCCGAAAGCCGCGCTCGGCTTCCCAGGTGCCATCGCCCTTGCCGCCAAAGTTCCTAAAATTACGAGGTCTTTATCGCGCCCATCCTAAACGGCCGTCTCCACTACGACTTCGAAAAAGGCGTGCTTCGCTAGCACAAGGTCCCTGCCCCTATGTGCACACGATCGTGCAGATCCCGTGTGGCCTCAGGACGTAAGCCCATGGGCAACGGAGAGCGTAATGCCCGCTCCATCACCAGGACGCCATCGCCTCGACAGGCCGGCTGCCCAGGGCTGGCATGCACCCAGGCGACGCACGTCCGAACAGGTGAACGGACAAGAAAAGGGCAGGATTCGGCACATGCAAACCCCAAAAAGTGAACGTCGAAAAAAAGCAGGGCAGTGGCCAGCATGCCCTTCTTGCACTCTGCCCTGGCCTGGCTGCACCAGAGGCTCGCCACAAGCCCCAGGCTGGCAGACAGGCGATCCAGTAAAGCGGAAGGCGGCATAGTAGGCCTGGAAACACAAAGCCACGCAGGCTTCTTGCACGCCAACCATTTGCACATGTTGACAACACATGGACCCGCCAGGATGTTGCGGTGAGGCTTTGTCAGCAGGGGTCGGACGACCCGGAGCTCCTTCAAGAGTAGCAACTCCATACTCGGAACTCGCTCTAGGGATTGGAAGGAGGTTTGGAGGTTTGGGGCACTCGTCATCCGCTGCTCTCCCGGCGCCAAGCGCCGGCAGCATGGCGGTCGCTGCCGATGCCACGGACAATCTGTGGAAACAGGGCGAACAAATCCCAAAACACAGATCACGTCGACGTTACATGACACCCAACACCACACACCCACAATCGCCCACGCACACGCGCACACGGATGCGGAGGACAGCCAGCGTCACCAAAGAAGATGTTGACCTCTCTGTCGCGCCTTCACCGCGACGCTCTCCCGCCCGGGGCCCAGCGCTGCGCAGGAGCCTAGGAAGACGCGGCCACAGGCGCCGCGGCCCAGGGCGTGGCCCTGCAAAGTAAAGAGGAACCTTTGGAAAACATTCTTCCAAAGTTAAGTTCACAAGTTATTGCTCACCTCACTATTGGCTCGGACCAGGATTTCATGCGGTTTCTCGAAGTTTCTTCGGGGTTCTTCTCTGCCGAGCGACGGAGAGCTGCACGGCACCGCAGGGCGCCTCCAGTTCCATCCTCCCAAAATGTGAAGAGAAAATAGAAAGTGTTTGGGACGTCGAAAAATGGAAGCTTGGACGAGTTTACGGGTGAACCAGCAGCTGTGACACGAGGCACGTCTCTCCCAAATGCCACCACAAAAGCCTTCGGCTAGATATTCACATCCTGTAGCAACAACAGCAATCCTCCTTCAGGCGCTGAGACATAAGCCATGCGCAGAGCAGAGGCAGGAGGGGATGTCATGTATGGTTTCATTTACAAATTTCTCCCTTTCAAGCTGGAGGGGGTGCCACCGGATTGCGGACTCTGAGACTTGAAGCAAATGAACTGGTCGGTGCACACAGACCAAGCTTTGACCGCACCATTCGGACCAACTTCTGTCCACTTTGCTGCTACAGTCTTGACTTCCTGGGCGGCAGCCTCGCAACAAATGCCGTAAGCTGGTTTCTTTCTGGCGAACCGATGGCACCTCTCTGGTGCGCGAGCAAGTTGTGAAACAATGTGCCGGTGGAGCAACAGCTCTCAGATGGGCTGCGCAGATGGACCCTTCCAAAGCACCTGAATGCACAGACAGTATTCTGCCTAAGTCTGCCTAGATCTTAGCCTCGAAGCCCTTTCTCCGTACTTGCGGCAGCTCGTGCCTCACCATCAGCCAGGAGAGGACCCAGCCAACTGCCCGTAATCTCGGCAACCTTCAAAAAAGGTGTGACTGCATATTCTGAATCCATAAAACAGGGTCATGAATGCAAAAAGGGGGGGAAGGTACACGGACGCGCAGCACCCACACCACCCAACTGCCGAACCGCACAGCAACCCGAATCGTGTAGGGTTTGGGTTCATTGGGTGTGTTGGGATTCGTAAGGTTGCACAACAACAATGTGAGACCGGTCAGCGAAAAGCCGACATCCAAAGGCCAAAGGCCAAAGCTAAGAAAAACAACGGATGTCAGTAACTCAGGGCCATAGCCACAGCGTGGAATAGCGTGTATAGCCAGAAGGACCTGACCCTCGAGCTGCTGAAAGCACAAAGGATCACGAAGGCCAGAACCTTGTTCTGAAACTCGCTGAAAGAAAACCCGTAAACAAAACAAACATCAGTCGATTCCCGCCTCGCCGCCGGCCGTGTTCCGCAGAAAGCCGTGAAGCGTGTCCTGTACGCAAGCTCTGCCGGAGTGGAAGCAGCTGCATTGCTTCCGTCATGAGCGGTGTGCAGCAAAAACCTGATTACGGCATTGGCGTCCTCCGTTCGACTGGAGCCCACATTGCCGAAAACCAGCGCGCACTGCACGACCAGGGTCAGGCTCCAAGGCTAGATTACGTGCCATGACATAGCTTCGTGCGTGAAGCCAGCTTCACCAGGGGAGGAAGAATGAAGTGTATTTGAAAAAGACAAGCCTGCGCACAAGACATGTCCAGCGACTAAGTTTTTGACACGACCCTTATTTTCATTCAACGTTGCAGAATTTATCCGGGCCTCCAAGCCTGCAGCATCGTCGACGAAGCGAGCGGTGCCTCATATTTCATCTCACAACCGCGTGGCAAGAAACAAGGAATTACACCGTAAAAGGTAGCAAGTAAGACAAACAACAACACAAGCAGATGAGAACCCCAGACAGCATGAGTGCGTCGACAAAGCGCCCACAGCTTGCCACGAATCAGGATCGGCATCGAGAATCGGGCCCAGCCATTCGTAGATGGAGCCAGGTCCAAAGGTCCAGTAACTTGGAGGACAGCACATGACAGCACCCAACATTTGTTGGCTTTTGGCTTCCTTCTATGGCGCTCTCCCTCCTGATAAAGGCTCGTGGCAAGGACATGAAGGCTAGTTCTTTGATGCATTTCGATGGACAGAAATCCTGTACAGGAGTCTGCTCCTGCGCTTCAGACCAGTCCGTGGATGATAACTCACCTGAAGCTATTCCTACACTGATGGCTACATCCTTTCATGTTCCTTCGCTTTGGCTCTCGTCTCGAAAGCCCCTCGGGCCCTGACCTTGGCCGCACACGCAGTGTCGGCCGTGTGAAGCGAACCGAGGATGCGGCACTGCGCGCAGCAAACAGCTGGCTCTTGCACACAAAAACTGGGCCTATGCAGCAATGCAAATGCGCATCGCACCTACCAGACGAGGCAAATTCCACCTGAGTCCACCACATGTACTCCCCACATTTGCTCACGCAAGTTGCTCCAGCAATTCAATAGTCCAAAATGCTGGGAAGCGCATGCTGTAGTAGCAGAGGATAGCAGAGGTATACATGCGAGTTGAAAAAACCTTCTGGTCTGTGATGCAGATATGAGGCAACATTGGCGGCAACCCGACAAACACACAACTACAAAGAACTATTCAATACGTGTATACTTATGAAATTGTCTACTGGTTATTTTGTATGCTTCCAGACTTACATTGTTGACATGATTCATACATACACGTGAAAAACGGGCGCAACAACAGCAAACAGGAAGCGCAACAAAAACACAATGCCGGACTCGGAGCAGCTAACATACGCCACAAAGAGATGTCATGCACAGAGCTTCCCGCATGAAGCCGTGCACATGGCGAATCAACAACAGAGCCACATCTGCCAGCCCGAAACTGATCCAATTAGGCAACAACTGCACCTGCAAAAGCACGAGTAATTACTAGCAAAGCAAAGGTCTCTTACCAAACATCTCAGTCCGAGGTGCGGTTGTCGAGCCCTTCTCGGTGAAGCAGAAACTGCCGGGAAGCTGCAGTTCACAGCTAACCTGACATCAAACAAAGACCAAACAAGCCTAGTTGGTAACGTGCTGAGAAGCGCAAACGACCCGCGATTCTCCGAATGGCCTCATCTTCACCAAAAATTCGAAACCCGCAGCCGCTTCGCCCGGTCACCTGCAGCGGCTACATGCACAGTTCAGGTCATGCCCGAAACATGGCATGGCCAAGGCTAGCACGAGCAAACGACACACTTTGTCATGAGGGAAGGATGCCCAGGGCCTCGAACGCCGCTCGCTGCGGCACGCGGATTCCGGGAGCTGCTCGGCAGTCGACCTGCAAACTGGGAAGAAGCTCGAAGGCACACACGCCTTCAGAGAAAGCAGGCCGCGACGATCCCAAAATCATTCTTCCAGACTTCCAGGTCACCGGCCTCCAGGGAGGCAGCACAATCCTCGGGGAGGACGGCGGACTGCCTTTCAATCTGGACGCTTGAGCCATGTTGAGCCATGTTGAGCCATGTTGAGCCATGTTGGCCGAACCTCTTTGCCGAGGGAATGCATGGTAATGCAAGTCTCCAACGCATGTTCGTTGACACAACCGGCCTGCCCGAGCAGCAGCCAAGGTCCTGGCAAGACTCTGCAGACTGTCTCGGGGGGCCTGGGGGGGCATTTCTTGCCATGATTCTCGTTGCCCCAACGCGTCGGCTGCACCACCCATGGCAGGAAGGGATATCCGGCTGCGGCCAAGTGCAGACCGGCGACCTGGCAGCAACTTCGGTAGTCCGCTGCCATGCTGACACCATCTGACAGACCTTCCCATACATTCTTCCCATCATTCTACACCCTTGCAGGTGGGGCGCCATGAAAGCGATGACGAGAAGCAGCCTATCCCGCGCGTGGTCCAAGGATCCTGATCTCGATCTTCTTGCCCCAGGCAGCAACAGACATGATCAGCGTGCTTTCCAATGTTCACAATGAAACAACAGCAAGGCCATCAAGAATGGGATGATCAACGCTTGTCTGTGACTTCTCCGTGCCTGCACCTGTCAGGAATCTCGCGGCGAATGCCCAGCGCGATGCGTATCGCTGTGCAAAATCGCCACCCGCCTCAAAACATGCTTTTGCCCAATGCATGGGTTTGGGGCACAGGAACGACCAGACCTGCGGCAACAGCCCGTGAGGTCTGGATGACAGACGTACCTGACAGTTCAAAATAGTGCTAGTAAGTAGCCAACATTAGCACACCAGGCTGAGGAAAGAGAAGTTGTAGGATGCTATCGGTGGCAGTGAAGTGGCTCATTTAGCTCATGTCCAACCAACTCACCGAAGCTGGCACCTCACGCTCCCCCCAAGCCGCTTCCCAAAGCATCCTTGGGAGTGTTTCCCAGCTTTCGTTTCGTGCAGTCAGTCACTCTGTTTTTTCAGCACGGTTCAGCACTGCTACAGCGTCGACAGGTCCACAGTGAGGACACAATTCGCAAGGAATCTGAGGCCCAGGCTGTTTCAGGATGTCTGCGGACCTTCACCCGTTCAAGTCACCATCTACCTGATTCTGACAGGCGCGAGTCCCCGGCAGGGCGCTGCGGTCCAACTCTGCCGGGGCTTGCAGCGCACCTCAAAGTAATCATTTACAGTATGTCCCTTTGACAACATTGAGTGAGGAGCATTGGCCATCTTCTCGCACCGAACCCACATTAAATCTCAAGCCTTCCGTGAATCTCCCTATCCTACCACCCCTCGCACCTGCAGCCCGGCAAAAGGGACGCAGCATTTGCGGAAACACCTGTAGCGAACTCGACAGATCTTGACAGAGCTGGACAGAGGAGAAGGCATGTGCAGATGCTCAATGGACCACGCATTGGGCAAACACGTAGGGCGTGACTCCAACCAATTCCAACCTGAAACGACCTCAGCCTCCGCCATGTGCCTGGAGCTGCACGCTGTCTTTGAGCATGCCGCCAGTCCTGAGCCACGTGCTTGTGCTAAACAGCTCTCTTTTTTATTTCTTTATCTCTTTATTTCTTTATTTCTTTATTTCTTTATTTCTTTATTTCTTTATTTCTTTATTTCTTTATTTCTTTATTTCTTTATTTATTTCTTTCTTTATTTCTTTCTTTCTTTCTTTCCCTGTGTCTTTCTTTCTTTCTTTCCCTGTGTCTTTCTTTCTTTAGTTGTTTCTTTCTTTCTGTTTTTCTTTCGTTTCTTTATTGCTTCGATTTTCTTTGTTTATTTCTTTCTTTCTTTCTTGCTTTCTTGCTTTCTTGTTTCTTTCTTTCTTTCTTCCTTTCTTCCTTCCTTCCTTCCTTCCTCCTTCCTGCCTTCCAGAGCTCATGGCCACCCCCCCCTCCCAGGTGAAGTGGTTGTGCTGGGGCGTTCATGGAACTTGCCACATCGGGCCTGGGATCTCCAGAACATCGTCGGCTGCCAGAATTTGCGCAGCAAAAGAGGGATGGAGCGTGTTGAATAGGTAGCAACACTACAAATAGCTTCATGATACCGTGAGGCACTACGACTGTGAAACGCTCAACTGCCCTTCACCGCGGGCAGAAGACTGCGAATTCTTCTTTGGATTCCGCATGGCAGATTGGGCAATGCTGGCAGATTGGGCAATGCTTCCACTGCCTCAGGTACAGAACGGCACATAAGGACATGGGTCGAACACACATCGCGCTTCCTCAACGAAACAGCTCTGACAGACCTCGTGTAGTCAGAGACGTCAGAGTGGGTTGTCTTGCAGGCAAGAGCCCAGGCCATGCGACCGCTTACCCAACAGCCAGTCCCGCGAGCAGCTATCTGGAAGGAGCCACTCTCTGACATCCACTGTAGCTGCTACATGTTGCCAAATCTTGGGGTCAAAAGGTGCAGAATCAGGCAAGGTACTGTCATTGCGCAGAGTCGGCGCCATGGGCATGAGCCGAATCGGGCCCTGGACTCCCTGGACCAACAGTTCCATGAGCCCCTTTCGCGGTTCCGCCTTCGTGATGCAAGAAATGCCCGGTCACCTGCGACCTTCAGGTCCAAACCCCACAAAGCCTAGAAGGCCTGCATACCTGCCGAGCTTCCGGACCAGATTGCCAGGCGGGTCCATTTCCCACCCGTGCTGTGCAACAACATGCCACCCAGACAGCTAGGCACCCAGCGAGCCGAGGCTTCCGCTAAAGCTGCGCTGCAGCCTGCACATCGCCGTCTTTGAAGCCAGGAAATAATCCGGTACTCTCCAGCCCCCATCTCAGCCTGCCAGGCTGCGCCGGCTGCGTCTTCGTGCCGGAGCTCCTTCCCCAGGAGCACTCGGTGAAAGGGCACAAACAAGAAGTGCACAGCGACGCTGATAAAGATGTCGATACCATATGCAAGCTTTTAGTATTCAGTGTAACACAAAGGCTGTTGTTCGAGCAGGTGCCAGAAGGTGGCAGCCATCCCAGGTATGTGGTAGCTGCCGGTAGCTTCGTTCGGCACTGTCCAACATACGTGCTGCACGCCCCGTTCTGTAAGTGACTATTTCATTGGACATGGTGCCGCCATTCCAGGATCCACACAAAGACATACAAAGCACTCTCACATTCAAGCTTGTAGCTTGGTTTCACGAAATGAGCTGGACTGCGTGTGTTTTGGTACAGTAATTACTCTCCATAGAAAGCGAAAAGATTGTCAGGAAAATCTTGCCGTTTCAGGGACCTGGCAACTCTAAGCTGCCAAGACAGGGGCCTGGCTTTTCAGCAAATCCAGTTGATTCCTATGTGGGCTAACTGGTCAGCGAGAGAGCGAGCGAGAGAGGGAGCGAGAGAGAGACAGAAACAAAACAAAGAGAGAGAGAGAGGCAGGCACGCACCTGGCGGCGCAGAACTGGCACCACTCCCGAAAGCCGGCCTTTGAACACCATTGCGCACAGGCACTGTGTGCTACCTTTGTCTCCTCGTGGAAACTCCCGATCTCCCCTTCACGTTGGAGTTGGACTTTGTTCTACAAGCGGTTCGAACATGTTCGAACAACTCAGCATGTCATCGGAAAGCTGCACACTGGGCAGGATGCGAGCGAGGACACGCGTTGTGCAACCAGCTCCTCCTGCACCTGCACGCATTCGAGACAGCACCGCCCCATCATGCAATTCCTGCATATTCATGCATGTTCGAGCCATGACACGTGGCTTTCGCAAATGCTGGGCGCCTTCCGGGGTGCCCACGGCATCAGCGGCAAGGCGCAAAGCCACCAAACAAGACCTGACTTTTGAAATTTTGCTTTGGGCCCATATATGGCCCGATCTCCGATGTCGCGTTTGACTCGTTTGACCCCTCCCGACCCTCGTTGCATTCAGCACACTCAGAATTTCATCCTCGACGCTGGGTTTGCGGCATGAGCCCTCGGCCAACTGCTGGACTGCGAAGCCTGCGGGCGCAGCTCACACCCTGCATCACACTACGGGCTGCGCTTTCTCTACAAGCGCTACTGAACGAAGTTCAGGCATGAAGCGCCGGGCCCGAGAATACAACTGAGACTTGTTGTTGGCCACACCAGACATTTCCGCATCGCAGGCATTCAAGAAAGTTCAAGACATCCGGCATGCCCTGGACAAGCGCAACCGCGCTAAAACTTGCGAAGCTTGCCACTGCGTGGGCTCAGACTTGCTTCCGTTTCGTTCCGGTGTGTCTTGGCTCGACAAGCGGTGCCAGCTTTCACTAACAGCCTGGCCCTTGCAATGCAGGTAGAAGGAAGAAAGCCGCATCAGCAACTTCGTCGACATAAAACACGAACATTTGAATCTGAAGTCTGAATCCACAAACTGTGGAATAATCTATTCGCACCAGAGTTCGGAACCGCTCGTAAGATGTTCTGTCGATGTGGCACCCAGCGATAGAGGTTCCTTTGACTGCCACATCGTGCCGTCTCTGAGTGGCTTTTCTCAGAAAGACTTTCGTTCACAGAGCGATTCCACGCGACAACTTCGATTGCGCCAACGACTGCTGGACATCAATCCAGGCCAGGGAGCGAGTCTGAACCGAGTCGCATGCTTCTCTGTGGCTTTTTGTCATGCAGCCCTCGCATTTCGAGTTTGTGGACTTGAACAGGCTGACTTGCGTTGTTCGTTTTGTTGTGTATACACCTTTTATAAACCTTTGCATTGTAGAGTGCTTCCTGGTGCCGGAAGGGACTCTTTCGAATACATCCCAAAGATCTCAGGAGATCAGGGACGGGACGATGAGGCGCTGCCCCGGCTGGCCTTCGAAGCCCTGCACATCTCGGAGCCTGTTGTGCAGAGGCGGCCTTCGGAAAGGGGCGTGAAAAGATGCTCACAGAAGATCCTGCCGAATGATCCAACGGCAGAATCCTGCACTCCGAACCAGGGCTCCGGCTCCTCAACACAAAGAAGAAGGCGTGCCCCAGTGTCGTTACGACTCCACCTGCTCCAGTGGCTTTGCACATGCCCCAAACATCAGACATGGACAGGGGGCAACATTGAGCAGAGCACATGTTGCCCACCTTCTTCGAAGGTTCAGACTGAAGGTCCAACCTGCGCAACACTTTGGCAAGAGAAGCCTGGAGAAGCTTTTGGTTGCTCTGCCAGTCGAAGGTTCGGCCTAAAGGTCCGTTGAACGCCAGCTGAACCACCTCATAGCAAGGCGCACGCATATGAAACGGATGGCTGAGCTCAAAAGCAGGGCCAGGAAAGCAGGTCAAGGGCAGGCAGAACTACTGCACTCTCGAAACTTGGGCGGATAGCAGCGTCGGCTTCCAGGCCTCATCACGCCCTGGAAGAAGCCTTGAATCGCAACATTCCAAGGCGATGTGCCGTCTGTGATCACCTGCCTGTTGGAACTTGGACCGTATGGCAGGTTGTGGTCTCTGTAGCTTCTCCACCCGAGGCTGTCGCGAGAGCGTGCAGGCAGAGACGTGGCCAGGCAACCACTCATGCATGCGGCAATTGTCCGCGAGGGCCTGCACCGCAAGCACTGCGCGATAGCCTTTCCGAATCGATGCTGAGTCAACGAAGGGAAGAGCTTGTCTCAACTTCAACACGCAGAGAAACGGCAATCGAAATTAAGCCTTCATTCTGGGGATACGGAAACCCTATTTTGCGCGTGTATGAGGTCCCCAAGATCTCCTCCCGTTCACTTTCAAATGTTCCACAACTCGTTAATAGCTACTTTATTTCGGGTCCGTACTAAAGCCCCGCAATTACAGCCCTTGCACTCGAGCCATTCTATCAGGTTCAAGGAGTTCTTTCAATCTCGAAATCCAACGCACAAAGCAACTCAAGCATCATAGAATCGAGCATATGTGCCTTCCCGTTTCCCGAAATTAGTCGCAGATGATGTGTGTTTGAGGCCAAGGTTTGATGGCCTCCCGTTCAATTAAGAAATTCAGCAACTTAAAACTCTGCAAGTCATCGCTGTAGGCTATAATCGAAATTGAGTCTCTGTTTCCAGGAATCTCTGGCATATTGAAACTTGTACAGCCTCACATTGGCATGAGCTGCCGAGGTGCATGCAAATTTCAGGATCTGTACTGTTTTTCATATCCTTCCCATTGAATTTCGATCAGGCCTCTATTTCCACCAGGGGGTTCCCTATCCCAAAGCCAGGAATTTATTTTCCTGCGCGCAAGCTCGCGCGACTCTCGCGAAGCCGCTAAGCCGCTAAGCTCCACTCGGCTCGCGGCGGGCCCTTCGGAGGTGAAGCTCCAGCTCCATGGCGTCAGCTGTTTGGCTGCGCGTCATTTCGCTCCGTGGGGCCACCACTGGCCTCTGGTCTTGGATGAGCTGCGGCCACAACCCGCTCTGCAGCAAGTCTCCTGCTTTTGCTCGGCACAGGCCCCAGTCACCTCTAGCCAATTCCCCAAGAAGCTGCGTTCGCTGCCATCGCGCCTCCCCCCAAAAGACCTTCAATGGCCTCATGGCGGCTGCCGATTCTTCAGACTCCTGCTGTGCTGACTCTGGCTGGTTTTGTGCTGCATGCTCTGACACCCGTCTCAAAATATGTTCTGCTGCAATGCCCGCAACCGTCTCAGCAGTATCGAAAGCCAGCACTGCATCTTGGTCATCATCATCTTCGGACGAGTCATCAGGTGGAGGTGTAGCCGCAAGTTCGCCAGCATTTCTTCCCCAGAAATCGGAGCCATCGTCAGACTGCTCCTCGTCCTCCTCTGCAAGGGTGTTCTCTGCGTCGGTATCCTCTGCATGTGGGATATGCCCCATGCAGCCACCATCGCCAGCATCGTCAACATGCGCCAGGTCTTGCGCCAGCTCTCCTTGCTGGCCAACCCTGGGCACCTTTCTGGGAGGCTCGTCGTCCTGCCTGTTCACCGTATCTGTAGACCAGCCGCGCACACCGCTCAAGGCATGGAAGGCCGCTGCCAGATCAGTACCGACGGCAATGTTTAAATCGCCAAGCAAGTTGAATCCCGACGGTAAAGGGGGTATCACACCATCGGGCCCACCGACTGGAAGAAAGACGTGGCATTGGCTAGGTGCACAGGGACCGCCGAGGTAATGCTCCAGCTGTACAGATGGAGGCAAATTGCCACCAGGGAGCCTCGCTGCTCGTGCGATTTTCCGCATTCCTGCCTGCACTGCGCTGGGAAGGTCTTCTGGCGAGATACGGTTGCTTAAATTAACGGCACGGATGCTGTCATCGCTGGCATCCTGGACATCGCCGACGCATTGCAGTGTCACGTCCGCGGGTAAGTGGATAGCTTTCAAAGCTTCGAAAAGGCGTGAGAGACGGGATCGACTCGAGGATTCCTGCTGGACTGCCTCTCGAACCCAAGCAGCTCCCCTCGAAGGCGTCGAAGCTCGCCCCAAGCACTCGGAGGCTTCGGCTTCTGAGGCCTCGTCAGTTCTGTCACCTCTGTCCCCAGACCTAGGCTCCGCTGGCTGTGCTCGCGGAAGGTGAGACAAAGGGCCCTCGCTAAGCATCTCATACTTCCGACCTTGGACCTCAATCTGTCCAGAACTGTCCAGATTCTGCAGGACTGCCGTTCGGTTCGCCTCGTCCGGAATGCTGAGAACCAGCTGCTTGGCCCCGCAATAGTAAATCAAGTAAACCCCCCGGCACCAGTGAACCAAGTTTGAGATGCTGCGGCGGTCAAGGCGGTCAAGCCCCGCGTGCAGCCGTGATCGCAAGGCAGCCGACCATGACTCAGACGAGCAAATCAGGCACTGCTCCTGGTCATGGAAGCTGTGCCACAAGGATTCACAAGGTTCAGCACGCTAGATGCAAAATGGAACTGGGACCCTGGGATAAGGAGACAAGGATTGCTTCCTGGACCAGGGCTGCCAGCTCAGCACCTGTGAAGCTCATCATCATCTCGTGCCGCGAAGGGAGGGGACAGGAGAAGCGCTCTGTGCAAACGCAGCAATGAGACATCCGGCGATCCTGCAGATGCAAGCAACATCCAGTCAGTACTTCGAAGCAATAACAACCTGAAACCCTAGGCTGCCAGACTGCGTCCTCGTGGTAAAAGGCCGGGTGCGTGGGCTGCGTGACCAAGATCCTAAGCTGCCATTCCCTTCAATCCTCCACTGCCATTGGAGGTTTCAAACTGGTGTTTTTGGGGGCTGCTTTTGGAGCCCAAAAACTGTTGTCAAATTGGCGCCGCTTGAAAGGGCCTCCAGAGTGCAGACAAAATTGCTGGACGACCTACATAGAGAGCCATTTTTGTAAGCTGATCAGAGCAGATGGCAGACAGAACAATAAGCGTATACTGTCACCCGGAGTTTCGATCGCTGCCAGCGACGCAGGCATTCCAAGTGAACCCAGCGCTGACCACCTGACCAAAAAAAACACTCCCAGAACCAAGCTACCACAGAACCGCCACAAAAGGACGGAAAGAACGGTGCTGAAACACTGCTGAAAGCCACACCAGGCAACCGCGGCACCGGCAGGGAGCCACAAATGTTGCATCCTCAGCTTCTCCACCGAGGCAGTAGCGACACCTGTGGCCAGGAGGAGCACATGAGCCGAGGAGGCACGTGATGGCTCCAGCATGCTGCCATTTACATCCATTTACTGCCTAGAAAGCGGGAGTGTCTTTATTGTTGGGAGAACTCCAGACCATTAAAAAATTGTTCCGCGTTCCGCGCCCGAGCCGCTGCTTCTCCGTCGGCTCCTCCTCTGCGCCCTTTGCCGCTTCAGCTTCCGTCGCTGCCTCGCCCTCCGCTGCCATTTCCATCGGGAATCCGCGCTTGCTCCAAGATGCCGCTCTTGCTTTGCAAAGCTCGAACTCAAATCTCTGGCCAACCCCGACATGTCACATGCTCGCACACCTGGCACTTGAGCACCACAATTGCCTTCAATGCCCCAGCTACAGCAACAGAGAATGCCACCGAACTGCAGGCCCCCACTCGACACACGCGGAATCGAGCAGACACGCGCCTCGCGAACCTCTTCTCCTGTACCGGGGACCCGTACTGCAGCAGCCATCATCGGTGGCCCTGCAAAGATTTAAGGCCCTTTAAGGCACCTTGGAACTCTGGGAATTGAAGACATCCCACTCATCCCACGCCCCATTAAAGATTGGAAATCTTGAAGCTGGAAGCTATGGGCTTTGAAGACAGGAGTTGAAAAATGGAAAATGTTCAGGGCGTTGCGGGGAACACGTTCCCGTGAGAATAAAAAACACATGGTAGTTCAGCAAGCAGGGGGCCTTGAAACGACACAAAGCTATATCACGAGAATGAATGGTGAACAGAAGGAGAGCTCCCATGCAGGCTGCCTTCCGCCTATGGATCCCGAAGCAACCCCGACCCTCCCTGCCTCTCTCCTTCGCACCATGTTCTCACGTTAATGGGGGGGGGGGGGGGGCGCACGGGCATCCCAAAAACCATGCCCATCCCTGGCCCAGCACCCCTCGAACTGCGAAGAGGGTGCGACAAGTGTGGGGTGGGGGGAGGGGGGAAATGCGGAAAAGCGCCGTGAAGGTACATTACACACAAACAACCATGAGAAACGTGTGAGCGGGATTGAGCGGAAGTGGCGAGTGGGCCAGAAATTAAACAGGGAAATCTTACCACCCCCAATGGTCCACCCACTTTGAATTCGTCTCACATTGACGACTAACAGAGACACGCTTTCTCAACTCCCCTAAACCCTTTTGCAACCCAGGCTCCCCTAAACCCTAACCCTGAATTCTCTGTTTGACATTCCGTGGCCTTGCGCCCATGGGGAGAGGAACAGGAGCAGCCCAAGCAGAACTCCGGCCTTGATCCGCGCAGTGGCGGCACAGCATTTCGAGGGCGTCTTTAAAGGTAAGGGTCCCTTTTTGGGGGTTTTGGGGGTCGTTGTGCGTGCCGTACTACTCGTACTTTCTCGGGGAAGCCGAAAGGGACCCGAACTCGAGAACTGCTCATGTGGGCGGCTGCAGCTTTGCAGGCACTGCTGAACACCTGACGCTCCAAAGCTCCTGGGCCACCCTGCCGCGGAGCTCAAGAAGTACCTGCCACTCTGCTGCAAAGCATCCTCTGAGCTTGGATTTTAGCCTTCGCACATAGAAGCAAGGTTACAAGTCACTACCGTAGGTAAACTTGTCGCGACTAGAGATGTTGCGGCCTCTTGGCAATGCCGAGCAGCACTGAAGCCAAGAGGAACCAACACAGCCTGGCGAGGAGAAGCCCCAAGCATCTACAACAGATCCTCCGATTCACAAAAAAAATCAAAAACGGCTCTGCGGGCAGCAATGATCAACACGTGTGCTAACCCGAGCAGCTCCTGTGACTGCGGCTCAAAAACAATGAGTCCAAAGTATGTCACAGGGCCACGGGTGCCTTTTTGTGACATAGGTCTGTCACACGGCCCTTCCCTTCACCACAAGCCCCGTCGCCACAAGCCTCTCCTCCCAAAACAGAGATACGCATGAACAAGAGGACACGACGTACGTAACAGAGGGGCGAACGAGACACCACGGCCTACCCCACAGCCATATGCCCGGACCTTCAGAACCGACTTTGCGAGACAGGTGTTTTGCTCAACAGCACTTTCTGTGTGCGATGAAGTCGTGGCCAAACACTTGCTCGGAGGCAACTAGAGCTATGGGAGCCTTCGTCGGTTTCTCACCCATCCAAAATTCGCTTCAGGGCGAGTCTCAGCAGCAAACAACCAAACACTCAGACACTCAGACCTCGAGGTGTGTTTGAAAGTGTCTCGTCTAAGTGTGCGAGTCTGAGTCTGATTGTCTGAGCAGCTGCCACAAGGCGATCTAGGAAAGGTCTGGTTTTGTGAAGCTTGACGAGACACGCCAACAAGATTCTCAGACACGTTAGGACTTGACCTTGCTGTATATTTCGTGTGCTTGCCGCATCCCTCCCACCTACGATGACGAGCTCGCATTCAAACAAGCCCTTGACATTTGCTGTCGGCCTGCCCCAGGCTCCGTGCATGTAGAAGAAGGCGAACTTTGCCTCGGCATAGGCAGCAGCCAGAGGAAACGGTGCCATTTCAGAACACGTGAACATGCCATAACACGCCCTTGTTGAACACTACCGGGAAGCATCGTTCTTGAACACGGATAATCCACACAAACACGTTAGCGGGCTGCAGGGGCGCCGGTTTCCAAACCATTACATCTTCCTCCAGTCTCGGCTTCTCCTGTTGCAGTTGAGTCGGGAGTTGATGGCGTCGCAGAAGGTTCAGGCCAGGAGGACAGGCCTGCTCGCAATACAGGACGCGGACCCATATGTGAGACCACAAGCCACAAACTCTCCTGAATCTTCTGGACTGGTTTAGACATCGCCAACTTCCTGCGGGACCCTTGATCATCAATTCTCGGGGGGCAAAGGTGTCGAACTAGGAGGAACTAGGATCCGGTAGGGACACCTCACAGAAGCTAGAAGGTCTTGTCGCAAGGCTCCGATATTTGGGTTTGGGTCTCCAGTCACACCGGATGCCTTTTCACGTTTTACCACAAACAGCCTCGGGCCTTGACCATCCTTGATCGTTCTCAGCCAGAAGCTCCCACTTCACAATTTGAGCTGTGATCTAAATTCTTTCATCCCGAAAGGACCGTCTGCGCGAAAAAGTTAACTTTTGCAAAGCTTTCGCGTCCCATCGCGGTGCAGGTTTATGCTATTGGCCCGGATCAAAGTCTAGATCCCTAAGCTTCAACAAGCCAAATTTGCGCGTTAAGCGTTGGGGTTTAGGGTTTACTCGGCGCTGTCTCTGAGTCTGAGCAACTGAGCGCGACTGCACTGTGAACCAGCACATCATCGGGACCATCCCCCAGCAGTACTGGAACTACAGGGCGGCATCCCAATTCACCAGCCGATCCGACAGGACATCCAAAGGAAAGGTTGAGATCGGGTTTAGGGTCCAGGGTTCCAGGCTCAGGGTTCAAGCCCAGAACCATACAGGGCCTTGCAGTTCCTGCGGCAATGGAGTGGCTTCGCTATTTCAGAGATACGAATCCCAAGAACAGCCAACACGCACCTCAGATGAGCGCTGTCCTTGGACTGGCTGCCTCGACTTACGTGGGGCTTACGCGGAACTTACGCGGAACTTTCGCCAAATATCCAGCCCTGAGAACCGCTTCCGGACCCCCTTGGCTCTGCGAGTATTTCGGAGCCATCCGGGCAGTCTAGCAGGAAACTGAAAGCCTGGAAGCTGCTGGCAACATCCCGCTACGTAAGAACTTTCGCGAACAAAAACTTTCGCAATCCCAACGCGGATCTTTCGCGGAGGCAAATCTTAATGCCGTGCGGGTCACTGCCTCCTAAATGCCACACAAGGACCTTTATATCAACAAACATTTAGACCATGGTGCTGAGCCAGGATTCGACCGGCTCTACGTTCCCCGTAGCAGCCGTTATCAGGACTCAGTCTGCATCTCCTTTTAAGTTCAAGCGTTCCATCCAACGCCTCCTTTGGCGGCTTTGGGATTTCTGGGCCCACGTCTCCCTTCAGAATCCTTCAAGAATTCAGCATTTTCCAAGATGATTCTTGCCTGTACGTTCCAAAACGACAGTGTTCCACCGCAGGAAATGGGGAGCAAGGGAGGGAGCAAGCTCAGTGCCGCTTGGGAAACAGCAGTCGATTTGACTTGGCAAGATCTTCTGGGCCACCGGGCGCCTCGATCAACTGGAGAGCCTTATGCATGTGTTTTTATGGTGGTCGTCGAAGCGAGACACAACATGACAACAGAGATTCCCAAAGAACAGAGATTCCGAAAGTTGGGGGTCACTGGGAGTCCTGACATCGCTGCAAGATGCGAACCCCATGGCGCAGCTCACGCCTCAGGGTGCGATTCCCGTCGACCACGCACTTGCAGGAACATGGGTACTTGTAAGTCACGAGGCCCCCAAAAAGCCAAGCAGCCGGCAGTTCAAAGCCGGTTCCCTGCACCCGTGAAAGCTCCTCAGACGCTGGAGGCTGAGATGAGTTTCGCGAAGAACATCGAAGAACTGCGCACTCCACTCCTCAAGTGGAAAAAGCCGTCAAGCCAGCGACCAAGCCATCAACCACCCACAATACCTGAAGCCCATATCCTTCCAGCAGGACCACTGAGTTTGGAGGTGCCTGTCCTGTGCACATCGGGCCATGGCAGCTTCCTCCAGCAGCATGCGAGGCACGAGGTGCTTCGAGGTTCTTCCGACAACTTCTGCTAGTAAATGACTGCTCAATGGCCATGCAGCTCACACTCCTGCCAGGTTGTCGCACCAGTTTCCGCAGGTTCGGGCAGCTCCTAGGGTTGGGATGAGTTGAGACATCTGCCAGATTGACACAAAGAGCTGCTAATGGAACATGAGGATTGTGAATGGAAACATGTGTTGGGATGGAACTGCCATGAACGGTCTAAGCTTCCCACGCCCGGCTGCGGCAAAAAGCCCAGGAGCCTGACGAGAGCTCAGCACAAATGAAAACCAAGCAAACAAAAACGCTATGACAAGGCAATGTGGCATGAAGCTTACCCCAAAGTGCTGACCTGAGCAAACCGTTCCCCTTGCACTGCACCTGGTTCCTGCAGGGGTTGTTAACGGCCGATCTGCTGCTGCGCTGGCAGCCTCCGAGCTTGTGTGTGTGTGTGTGTGTCTCTTGGAAGTTATCTTTGGCATTGGCCGTGAGATGCCGTGAGTCTCTGAAGCCCATACTGGCGTCAATAGGCTTTTCGGCATCTCGACACACGGACACTCACATGTGCGCAGGAGCTACAGCAGCCGCCCCAGCAGCAGGACGAACGCCCACCAGCACAGCAGTCCCAGCCTGGATGCGCTCCACCCACTCAGAGGCCTCGCGTTCCGAGCAGCCCGACAGGCAGAAGGAGCGCTGACCACCTCATCGAACGCATCCGATTCTTCAGCAACGTTGTCTCCACTTTGACTTTCTTGACTTACAAAGGCGATGTGATCGACTGTGTCTCTAGAAGGTTAATGAATGATTACGCCTCTGCAGCACAGAAAGAGGTTCACGCGGACGATGAACAACTCCAAAACAAACAGCTGCATCTTCGAGTCATTTCAGCTCTTCCCCGCACTTCCCATGCAACCACTGGCACTTTTGCTGACGATGAAGGTGAAAGGCCGGCTGGCATCGTGGCACCACTCCACCGAAACGCCGCCTCGGCTTGGACACGCATCGGCTATCAATGTCAATCCATCGAACGGATGCGTCCGAAGGAAGCTTCTGCACCAAAGTTGTTGCGCAACATCTTAATTACTCTGCAGACCGAAGCGCTCAAAGAGATGGCATCACGGGGCTTTGCTTCATGCTGGCTGCGATAGTACTGGAGCGTCTGACCTTCATTCCACAGCTGGAAACGGTGTCTCATAATGAGAATGGAAAAGTGGCTTCAGGGCTTGGCCAATAAGGAGGAAATAGCGCAAATTCCAGCCCGTGTTCAGCAACCCATCACCTCGCACATCTCGCACAAAGGCTCGCACACCTGGCTTGAACCAAATTTCTGAAGGCACGCACCTAACTTGTAGAGGAAGCCATTGTGGAAGGGCATCCCTTTTGCCAGCGAAGGTTGGACAAAAACCTTCATGGCACATAGATGAAGCTGACCATTCATTTCTGATGATTCGGCTGAGCATCCTACGCTTGCGTACAGCAACCCGGCTATGAGATTAAGCGCCACCTCGGCGTCCGTTGGGGCGCCCCCAGGGTTGTCAGCATCTGGTTCAGGACTGACCGTTTGCACAGTCCTTGCGCAAGGTGCAAGCCTTGCATGCCTTGCAAGCCTAACCCCCCATCCAAACCCGAAGCAGAATCTGATCTGTACTGGCTTACACATGAAAGCACGGGTCAGTGAAGCATGTTGTGCACTCACCAAGGGCTCCACAGATCCGTACCTTCTGGGCACAGAAGCAGCAGCTCAGCCGGTAACGCGAAACACCCTTGCCTGCAAGATTTGCTCCGGCATCGGGTGTTCCTGCGCCTTGCACGGCTTCAGCTGATTTGACGTGTTCTGCACGCGGGCTTGAGTCGGCCTTGAGCACGGTGGACTGAGATGCTGTCGCGGCTGGACTGGCGGCCTGAGACATGACGGAAGCACTCAACACTCAACGGCTTCACGCCATCTCACGCTCCATAAGCAGGTCCCTGGCCTGTTTGGCTCATGCAGGGCTGTGCCTCCTCCGACAACCTGGTGCAGGGCGAAACGAATGTCTGCAAATTGCCCCGAGAACATCCTCAGGATTCCTTAGGCCTCGGTGCTGGCTCCTCGCACGGCATTGCCCAGCGTTTGACAGCCACCTCTTGGCTCTTCCAAAGCCAAAGGAAAGCGATTGCCACTTGTGGGCCTGCCAGTGGCGCTTCACCATTCGCAGCGCCCGGCTGCATGCAGCATCTTGAAGTTGCCGCCGAAGCGGAGACAAGACAGGCCTGAGACTTTTGAATTTCGAGGCACGTGTTGAACCTCCAGTGCTTACTTTTACCTCCCTATACGGCATGCCGTGCACTGCATTCAGAGGCACGTGCCTTAGCAGCAGGCCCACAGGTCCTGGCATCACTTGAAACCAAAAATGGGCACAACTAGAAGTGTGCGATCTGCCATGACCTCAACCAACCGACGACTCCATTTCCTATATCCAAACGGCTACAGCTACAGTGCCGGTGCAGTGTGCCAGGCAACGTTCCAGGGTCCACCCTATTCTGGTTTCAGCTAAAATGAGCTGAGCTGGCGCGCAGTCTCCATTTGATTCTTACTGGCCACGTAGCTAGCTCTGGCAGCTGCCATCATACTTGCCAAGTCCTGCCAACTCTCGTCGCAGTAGGCTCTTTTCAACTTCGGGCGACACGATGCCAGTCTCGGTGCTTTGCGTAGTACTGGCCCTTTCCACCCGACTTACCTCGCGCTTGTGCCATTCAGTTGTGTGCTAAGATGGATCTTCACTGACTCGAGATACTCTCGGGTGAGTCGCCTTTCATTCTTCAGATCACCTGAGTTCTTGGCTTGCAGCCGCCTGAGCCACGAGGAAACTTCTTGGGCGCCTTGAGTTGCGGAGACCCGCAGGGCCTCAATCAACTCACAGTACACCTCTTCCCTCGCCAAGCACATGTCCAAATCTCTCGTCAGAGATGCCAGAGACCGGGGGTCTCCTCGCTCTCTTCCGAGAATTACACGCACGTAGTAGTCTGGAGGGAAGGCTGGATTAAGAAACACCTCCTGCTCGGCGATGAGGTCCTGAAACTCGGGAACCGCCCGTCTCAGAAACACCTCACTGACGTGGTCAAAGTACACTCTTGCCCAAACGCCTTTGTGAAGGAATCTGCTAGCAACATCCTCGTATCCGCCCATTGGTAGACGCCTGGTCTGGGGGATCAATCCGATGTAGATGTTCACCTGGTACTTCCGCAGGATGTCACGATTCAGTCGTTCAGGGTCCAGGTACACACTTTTGTACAACTCATCCAGGTGCTTGAAGCAATATTCCCGCGTGTCTGCAAAATGTCTGTTCGGCAGCCAGTACAGCAAGTATCCACCAAAGGTTATGGTATGATAAATGTTGCCTGTCAGGCTGTGGTTTCGCACGAATTCTGCAGACCGCACGGGCCAATTCACGGTCGTCAGCTGGAATGAAGGTCCTTCGAAATCAGCAAGAATAAGATAGAGCGAGATCAGCACGCAGAAAATAACCCAAAGTAATCTGGGGGTCTGGCACTGACTCGGCCCCGAGTGGCCGAGCATTGCAGGCAGGAAAAACGCCGGCCAAACGACAGTACGGGTACGGTCATACACCAGAAGTGTCATAACACCCAAGGCCAATAGGGTAAACAGGGGCGACCTGAGGCCGGCAGCACGTGAATGCCGGCCTCTTTGCAGCCAGCATAGAGGCACCAACACTGCCAGAACGAAATAAGCACAAATCCATGGCACATGCTTCAAGGTAGCGGCGTCAAATAGCTGCCGGTGCAGCTGGGATAGCTGGAAACTGCTCCATGCTGGAAGATCCGTGTAGAATTCGCGCCACTCATCCTGGAAACTCCGATGCTCTGGGTTCGTCAACTGCTTCTCTGCATACTTTCCAGGCCGGTGGTGGAGGATGTAGTTCAAACCAGCTAGGGGCTGAGGGCTCAAGCACCTGATCACCAACCCATCTTAAGTTGCTGCATTAAGGCTCCACAAAACAGCAACTCCATCACAAATCCCACACCGTTCAACAAGGCCCTCGGCACGGGAGTAGAATCACCGGCGCTGCTCGTGCAAGTGGCGTTAGGTTAATCCGCGGCAGGCAAGAGCAGGAGGTAGACCCTGAAGCACTTGGATCGAACAGATCGTCTGCCAGTAGCGTTCCACAAAACAGGACCTGGTCCCCAACAGCTTCTTCATTTAGTTCAAATGTTTGTATCCCAGCATACCCCAGCGAAGTTCCGAGTTGGACCGCCTACTCGGTACCCCTAGCCAGCGGGTAGGGGATCAAAAAAAAAAATATTTGGGATCAAAAAATAATTTATTTCTGGCGGATCAAAAAAAAACTTATTTGGGATCAAAAAATAATTTACTGAAGGCTTCGAAGGCTTCTTGCAAGCGAAGCGGAGGCCGTAAACGCTCAGAAATGCAGCAGTTCTGGCCGTTCGCAAGCTCTAAATACCGGAAAAAAACAGCATTTATGCAGGAACTACTGAAAATAGCAGCATTTCTGAGTTCCCAGAGAGGCTGCAGATATTGTATATAGCAGCAGCTCTGCGCTTTCAGAAGCTGGAAATACTGTACACTGCAGCATTTCTGAATTTCCAGAGGCTGCAAATACTGAAAATAGCAGCATTTCTGCGATTTCAAAGGCTGGAAATACTGTAAATAGCAGCATTTCTGAGTTTGCAGAGGCTGCAAATCAATGCTGGCATCTTGGCATTAGAAGTTTCCAAAGAATGCGTATACTCTGAAGCATGTATATTATGGCATAGCATTGTATATTCTTGTATAGTATTGTATGACATTGTATATTTTTGCATATTATTGTATATTGTTGTACATCTTGTTGAGTATTATTGTATGGTCGTGTATTTTCTTGTATTTTTGTACAATACTTTATATTGTTGCATATTATTGAATGTTATTGTATGTTTTCAAAATTATTGTGTATTATTCTCTTTTTTGTAGATTACTGTACATTATTGTATATTATTGAGATTTCTTTGTATGTTACTGCAAATTATTCTATATTGTAGTATATTATTGCATGTCATTGTATATTATTGTCTATTATTGTATATTATTGTATACTATGTTACATTATTGCATGTCATTGAGTTTTTTTGTGTTTTCTATATTACTGTATATTTTGTATATTTTCGAAAATAATTGTATATATTGTTGTGTATGATTGTACAATTTTGTATATTATTGTATATTGTTGTCGATTATTGAATACTATTGTCAAGTACTGAAAATTGTTGTAAGCTATTCTTGTTTTACGTGTATATTGCTGCATATTCTTGTATATACTTGAAAAGTGTTGTATTTTTGTGTATTATTATATTATGCAAAAAAGTGCTCGCATCATGGGATTGGAAGGATTCATGTGCTTTGAAGCAAGCTTGCCCGGACTAAGAAAACAGCGGGGGGGTTGGGGGGGGCGCAGCCCCCCCCATTTGCAAACACAACGCTCGCATCATTGGTTTGGAAAGGATATTCATACGCTGGCTTAAAAAAGCAGCGGGGGGTTTGAGGGGGGGGGGGGGGGCGCAGACCCCCCCCATTTGCAAACACAATGCTCGCATCATGGGTTTGGAAGGGATTCATACGCGTTGAACAAGCTTGCCCGGCGCCAAACAAACAATAAATATGTATTGTGTATTATGAAGTTTATATATACAAATAGCATTATATATATATATACATATACGCTTTCTTACTACGATTTTTGATGTTTTTTTTTATCATACAAAGGTATACTATACGATATTGTGTTCTATGATACTCTATTCCACTATATAATATCATTGTACTTTGTTTTAATATATACACATACATATATCATATGTTATGTTATGTTTTCCTACAGAACTAAATATACCATTATGACCAAAAAGCAATAAATAAAAACAAACTCTGACCACGGGACCGGGAAACCACGGGACCAGAGGACCGGAGGACCGGAGGACCAGAGGACCACGTGACCAGAGGACCTTAGGAGCACAGCACCAAGCAACCAAAGGCCAGAATACGTATGCTTTGAAGCAAGCTGGCACGACGTCTTCCTTGCTTTCTTTCTTTTGTGAAATTGCCTTTTTCTGTCTTTCTTGATTCCGGCCTTCCTTCTCCTTTTCCTTTTCCTTTTCCTTTTGCTTTTCCTTTCTTTTCCTTTCCTTTCCTTCCCTTCCTTCCCTGCTTCCTTGCTTCCTTGCTTCCTTGCTTCCTTGCTTCCTTCCTTCCTTCCTTGCTTCCTTGCTTCCTTGCTTCCTTCCTTCCTTCCTTCCTTCCTTCCTTCCTTCCTTCCTTCCTTCCTTCCTTCCTTCCTTCCTTCCTTCCTTCCTTCCTTCCTTCCTTCCCGTCCTTCCGTCCTTCCGCCCTTCCTTCCCTCCCTCCCTCCTTTTCTCCCTCCCTCCATCCCATTTTCTCTTTCTCCGTCGGAAGAACAGAAAAAATTATTTTTTGATCCTAAATAAATTTTTTCTTGATCCTAAATATTTTTTTTTTGATCCGCATCCCTAGCCAGCCGACGAAGCCTGAAGACATCTCTGGCTCGCCTGCGCACACGCCAACATCTACCTGCAGCAGGGCGGCGGGCCAAGGGACGACCCCGAAGTGGATGTTAGCTGCAGCCACCACGCAGGCATACATGCATAGGACCTCCCGTGGCCAAAGCACCTCGCTGAACGTTCTGCTTGCCCGGGCCCCTTTGCACACAACACCTGCCCTCCGTTTATGCCTTCCTCTTGGAAACCCGCGACAAATCCAAATTGCCAAATGCCCCAGCGACCTTCTTATGTATCATCCTCATGCGTCAGCTCGGGCAGGAGGACGCGGAACTTAGAAAACATCATCAAAAACAACGCAGAGGATTCGAAAAACCCGAAACAACAGAAACAAGGTCGGCAATGAAGCTTTGGAGAAGCTTCTCCAAAAACTGAAGCGGACGAAAGCACGGGAGCAATAAAACACAACGACAAACTCGGTTAACTGCAGCTGCATGGGTGTTCCGTTTTATGTAGTAGTTGCGGGTGCAACGAAACCAGCATTGCGCACCGTAAAAAATCATAAAACCCACTTTCTGCAACTGGAGCCCTCGAAAAATGGCCACTCTTATACCCCTGCATCCCCCTGTTGTGATGAATTCCCACGCAAAAGCATTTCCTGTACATTGGCCATACTCGCCCCTTCCGTACCACGGCGAAATACACACTGTAGACCTAGTTTTCCTTCTGTTCCCGGATCTTTTTCTGGTTCCGACCGGTGTTTCTGAAACGCTCTTCACTCCGCCATTGACGAACCATGGCGGGTCGAGGATTAACTCGGCATTTCGCCTCACAGAGCCTTAGTCCTCACGCTAGAAACATCCCACTTGAGAGGGGCCAGGCTTGTTTTCGTCGGGGCTGAACCCCTTGAGAGCATGAAAGTCGGGCCTAGTTCGTAACACAAGCTGTTGCGGGTCAAAGATGCGCATTCCAGGAGCACCCTCAACAGCATCTTGAGGTGTGCGGGAGGGCCCTTTATCACATCGTGGAACGATACCGCGCGCGCTTTTGTACGCCGGGCGAGGCCACCAGTGCGATTCTTTTTTGCTTCCAATCTCGTGAACGTCGCCGGATTTATGGGGCCTCGTGAGGGTCAAGCCGCAAACCACGGAGCTCGCTTTCGCGACTTGAGGGATAGAGGCATGGCTGCAAAACTCAATCCCAAGCACCTTGCGACGACTTCAACCTCATGCTTGCAAGTCCACGGCACAACCGTTCCGTCCCGTTTGTCGCGACCCGCGTCTGCTTTTGCGAGGGTGCGACGTAGCAGCGGCAGCGCAGCATAGAGGACCAGCGAGATGAGCTCTGGACGACACTGGAGCCGATGCTTAGAGATCCTGGCAACGAGATGGGGAAATTCATCGTCATGCACATGCCCGACTCTAAGGAAGAGATGGGAAGAGCCTGCTCTGTACAGTGATAACATGCAAGATTCCCCTTGATCAGTCCTAAAGGAGATCGCGGCCAGGAGCCAACGCTCCGGCCCCGGACTCAGCATCATCTGCATCTTGGCCAGGACTGCACACAGTACGCCACGCAAGGTAACCAGCGCGGGCACGCCCCCCAAATGGTACAAAAGAGAGAAGGGGATGCAAAACAGCCACCAATGGTTGTGAAATGGAATGTGGCTGCTAGTGTATGTCCATTCCTCGTGTGTTGGAAAGCCTTGCCCGTGGAAAAGTATTTCATCTCCCAGACGGAGTTGCCACCAGACATCCTGCTCCCAAAGCCGGCCCATGCTGTTGGACGCGACCAGGGCGCAGAAAAGAAGATCAGCTGCCGATGAGACGTGTCGAGCACTCGCCATCCCGAAAGATCTCCGCACGCAACCAATTGCAAAGGTTGATTGCGAGGACCCAAGCTTTTGCTCAGCTTTTAGCCAGACATTACAGCAGCGACATTACAGCAGCGACGACGTTAATCCAAACGATCCTGAGGAACTCTAAGACCGAAACCCTAATCCCCAGTCCTGCCATGTGCAGGCATAGCTACTGCACAGCCTATACCGAATCATTTGTGCAAAGCTAAAGCTCCCCAAGCTCAGGACCCGGGCCTCTCCAGACCACTTGCACGGAAACAGCGCAGTACCTGCATGCGCTCTGATGGCGTTTCTGAAGTCTTCTTTGTTTGAGCCGTCAAACTCATCGATGAAGGCAAGCGCGTCCGGTTTTTGGAAAGAGCCGCGAGGCTCCCTGTCTCCAGGTGCCATGCAACAGTTGTTGCAGCGATTCAGTCTACATCTGACACATCCTGCCGTGCTTTCTTGATCGCGATGACCCCCCGTCTCTGCACATGCTTGCCGCGGTCATGGAAACAAAGCACAGCAGAAACGTCACGGTGTCTCTATGTGTGATCTATGTGTGTGCAGATGACAGGCTCTTGGACTCTTGGGGTCGCGTCAGACAAAATCACCCATGCAACACAACTTCCAGAACCAGTTGTTTCTCGAATGGCTGATGCTGGATCTCGATCTCCAATATCTCGACCATGTGCAGCTCCTACGAACGGCTCGCGGCTCAGCTTTTGCCACCTGACACAACGGCTCGCTTTTTGCTTGCTCTGCCTCAAGACCTCCCTTCCCACGAGACCCAAAGACTCCCTGCACTGCCCTGCCATCACCGCAAAAAAAAGCAGGAAGCATCTGAGGATTAACGACAAAAGGACTATCAGAGGGCCCGCAAGCCTGTGACCAGTTCGGGCTTCGTGGGCTTCTTCAGCCTGGGCCAGCTCTTCGTCTCGATGACCTCCAACGGAAGCAAAGTGCACAAAAAAGTCCGTGTTTTTGTTTTTGTTCTCCCTGCACTTCTCCTCCGGCCGCACCTCGTCTATGATGCCGTACCTCAGCGAAGGTGCACTATGTAGCAACAACAAACCCTTTGCCAAGGTGAGATGCTATTCCCACGTGGTTGCTCTTCAACCCTTGTTGCAGTCCGGCTGCTTAGAGGCCTCTTCTGGCGTCATGTAGTAGTCACCTCAGGGTGGTCATATGGCATGGAGGAGCCCTTCATGGCTCGCTCGGTCGCAGCACAAGGTAATTTCACTTGCCACCGCGATTAGGCCCTGATAGGCACTGTCGAATTGGTGTTGCCCAGGTGCGGTCACAGTCTTCAGCGACTGTGTCCAGGGGCTTGCCGGTGAAGTCCGACAAGTACCTTGCCACAAACAGTGTTCTCCTTGCTAAAGCTTGCTCAGGAATTCAATGTAGGGCTTTGTGTGATGTGCGCGTAGCACCCGTTCTGAGCCAACACAAAAACAAGAATGCCAGCTTCCAGGATGCGTATTCAAAATCTCGCGCAAGAACAGGATCTCTTTCGCCTCTATCATGGAAAAACGGATGAGGCACGTGTGATGGCACGTGAAGTCATACTTGCACGCTCTGTCTCACGAGGTCGAAACGGAACAAGATGCTGCCAAGAATGAAAGTCGTGGGGATTGTGTCTCACAGCCTGAATTTCGATGTCCGCCGCCTGGCCGCCAGCACCTCCCAGTGGCTGGTGAATCCTCAAAGGGTGGCCAATGCAATGCAAGCAGCAATGTGGCGGGATGTTTCCACGGGAGCATGGTACATCTTGATACCCTGAAATCTGGGAGACTTTGGACTAAACATGGGTTTCCGCTGATCTTTACCCGGTAAAGGTTTCACATAGTTGGCGAGCTGCGCTGGTGGGGCCCGATGACAGGCTTGCAACTACATAAGGGCCTCAACAGCTTATCAGGCTTGCGAAACTGTTTCACTGTTCGCGGGCCCCGCTCGCCCTGGGACTTACGACTGAAAAGTATATGGGTTTTAACACCCAAGTCCAGGAACTCCGCTTTTCAGCAGTTCGTTGATGTTGCCAAAAGCAGCAAAACCCGAAACTTCAGCTACTCTTCAGCTGCAACATCCCACAGCTTGAGTTGTGCTTTTCAGCTCTTCCACCGCACCAAACCATAACCCCTCACTCTCAAAACTTTTGCATCGGATCCGCGACTTCTTGGTCCAGCATGAAAAAAGCAGCTAAGCTCTTTTTCTCAACACTGAAATTTTGAATCCTTGCAGTTTGGTCGCTTCGTTCTTGTTGGGGCTAACACTTAAGGCCTTCGGGCGGAGGTGTCGGCTTTCTGTGAGGCCAGGTATGTGCTTGCAGCCCGTGCCTGTGCCGAGAAGTCACTCACTCAAGACTGGGAAGCAGCTTCGTTCTCCTTGACCCAACACAGCAGGCCAAGGCGCATGATGCGCGCGTTTGGCAGCGAGCGCCGCTTGCCCTTGGTACCTGACAGCTTCACGATTCACGAACTCAGTTCGACATGGGCACGTTCTGGCACGTTCCACATGCACAGCCCATGCACACGCACAATGATGAGCCTGCGCCGAGTAAGAAGGCCCCCATGGATGCGGCCATGCCGTAGCACACGGTGGACACATCGCCTCTCGCCATGCCGGAGGTCTAAGAAGTCTAACAAGCAACTTGACAAGGCGCATGATTCAACTTTTTGAACACCAAGGCACAGGGAACGAACTGCATGGCATCGAAGATTGCCATGCCCGCAGACACAGACCCACCTGTCAAGATCGATCATCAACCGTTCATCAACCGTTACAGAGAGCGCTCGGCCAGCCTGGCGAGTTGATATAAATGGTGATATCCTTCTCGGCATCCTCACAGAGAAATCACCACAGCAGATCTGAAGTTCACGGCGCTCTCTGCCTTTGCCATCACTCTTCGAATACTCTCTGAAATGTCGTATGGGTGCCAGCCACACTGTTCGAAGGGTGGGGGCGGCGTCCTGGTTGGCTAAATATAAGATCTGTGCTACCAGCACGTTGGCCATCTCATCATTAACTTCCCAGCCAGGCACAGCAACGCACATAGAGGGGTAGAAATTGCGGCATTTCGCTCATGGGGATCGCCTGCCCGTTTAGCATCAGGATTCGATCCTGTAGCAACTTGGACATCACATCAATCGCGCCGGTGCCGGTGGATACCATTGGCATACGAACCTCAACAATTCTTGCACACTTAACCTGCTGTGTGACCCCACGCGTGCCTTCGCGTGCCTTCGTGCAAGAGAGGCTGCAATTAACTTTGAACTTTTCTGAGCTAATTATGCGAACTACAAACCAGCACCCTAGGCACTGAAGCTGAATCGACACAACTTGGACCCATTCGGAACAAAGCACGGGTGGCACCCCTGGCGATGGCTGCGAAGGCTCTGCTCTTCGGGCGGTCCGTGGCCTCCAGGACTGTGTCTGCATCCCTGCTAAACACAGTGGCCGAATAGCGCTCAAGAGTCCACCAGCGACAGGTGCTCAAAATGCCGAAGACGGGTTGACAGGGACACAACTTGCAACCCTCCGTCGCGCCGGAGCGTGGCCGCGCCCACAGCTACGAAGCCCAACAAGGCAGTGCTCGATGAAGCTATGGAGAACCTGACCATCAGAAGGCATTAAATGTGTGGTCACCTGGGCACGTGTGAGGCCTAGAGAAGCCCAGTGGCGCTCGCCCGCTGTGCCCGGTGAACCCAGTCGAAGTGTGCACGGCGCCGCGCGGCGGGCCCAGAAGGACGAAGCTGGAGCCTCAAATCAGCAACATGTTGGTTAAGGAGGCACATCGACCCACTCTTTCGGGCCCGCGCGCTTGTCTCCACATATCTGCACCCGAGTCCACACAAGACCAAGCCACAGAGGCTGCCGAACGCCGCAAACGCGCAGGCAGCTGCCGCAATCTGTGTCATTGAAAGGGTAAACGGATTGACTTTGTAAATTGAAACGACTTGCCGGCTGTCACTTTTCACGGGCAGGATGCAGAACAAGAAGATGTGGCGGGGCAGGCAAGCAAGGCAAACAGCAAACACGGTTTTTTGTGATCTTCTTCTGGCCTTCAGCACTGGTGAGATCCGTTGGGAACAGCGGCGAATTGGGGATTGGATTGCTGAACATTGCAGGCATGCAGAACCCGGGCTGCGCACACACGAAGTCACCGAAGTGGATGAAATGAAGCCTTACGTGCCCTTGCATTGCCTGTATCTGAACGGCGCAGCCACGCAGTCGGCAGTGCACCAAGAAGCTCTGCTCCCCTTTGCGTGCACTTTGCGACTACCGCAGCCCAGTCCAACGGACCGTACTCTTTGGCTCTTGCCATTTCCTCGGGGGGGGGCCGGAACGTACCGCTTTCCCCTCAGCCGACCCTACGAGCCCGGGAAGATGTGTGTAGAACTATTCCCGATCTGCTTGAAAAATGAACCGACAAGATGCAAGATGCTCGCCCGCACTCTCTACAAACATCACAACAAATAGGCTGATGCTCATAAAATACATGAGCTAGTAGATAAGAAGTCAGCAAGACAGCCATGTGCAGGCAGCTCCCGCGAATAAAACTTAGCCAGAACAAGCCGCGGGGCACTGGTGCCAAGATCTCGAATGGCTGGTCTACTCTTTGGCTACTGGCGGCAAAAAGCCCAGCACGGCTAAGTCCCAGCATGTCCGAGTACAGGGTGTGGTGTTCCGTCTGTACTGGCCACCTGAAGTATTAAAGATTTCCCCGTACCTGCAGATTTGCACAAAGTTACGTTACTAGCTGCTTTCGGCGAGGGCATGGTGGCCCTGCCTCCAGGCTGAAGCCTGGATCTACTGAACTGCAATGTGCTCTACTGAGCCTTGCACTTTTTTCTGCTTCCCCTTGCGGCGCTCACCTCCATACATGTAGCGGGCCACGAAGTCGGGGCGCCGGTCGCGCATGGCTGTGCAAATCTCCTGGAACACCTGAGATGCCGGTGCAAAAACGGCAGCATCGTGCAATATCGTGTAAGATTGAAGTTCTCGGAAGAGAAGAAATCTAGGAAGTGGCCCACAAGAGCTTGTAGTGCCCTGCACCTTGAAGTTCTTGGTCCGCAAGGTGTCAAAGGCCATCACAAGTGGCAGAAGGTTCGTGGACTCTGTGTTCTGGCCACGCTCGGCCAGTTCCTCCCAAACGAAACAACCGAAACAGCACTGCATTACTACATTGAATCACTGGGGCTTACTGCGCCCGAGCCTGCACGATGCAGAGGATGAACCACTTGGAGCAGAAGTCCTCGCACAAGGCTGTCGAAGCCACGCTGCTAGATTCCCGCTCATGCCAAACTAACCCGTGAGCATCGCATGCGACCTCTTGAAAGCGTATGGAGTTAGAGAGTCGTGCACGCAGCATGCACGCCATGCACTCTCCTTGCATGGAATGCAGGTCAGAGACACCAAGGCCGAGACAAGCACCTGAAGCTTCCAGGCCTTGGAGGGATTTAACTCGCTGCATGCCGCGAGAGCTGGGGAGGCCACGTGGCATTTTTTCCCAGCAGAAATCTCCAGAAATCTCCTATCCCCTTTGCATGGTCCCCTCTCCCAAGGCCTTGGGCCCACGATGTAGGAAAGAGCTTGCAGCGGCCTCTATGAGCTCCTGAGCGGCGCAGCGGCGCAGAACGCTTGGGGCGCTTCTGAAATCGACTCCAGCTGTTTTAATAAAAGCCCAACCTGTATGGTTCCCTGCATCTCTTCGGCCATCCGCGGCTGCCGTTTGGAGAGCTCGGCAATGCTCCACAAGAGATTCGTGATTTCGTAGCACTCACAGTCCTTCAAATCAATCCCTTTCCGGTCCGAGTGTGCAACTGAACGCCCAAGTACCGAAGTTTCTCAGCCGAGCCTGAAGCTTCTGTGCACCCACCCTGGTCAGGACCGCAAAGAGCTCCGGCCGGAAGAACCGGAGCACAGCACAAGACCAAGCGATAATGGTGCAGCAGTTGCCGGGCATGCTGTCCACCTGGCCGTGCAGCTCCTGGAAGGGCTTTTCAGGACGTCAGGTGTCGCAACAACTGAAAGCAGAGCATGGCACGGCGGCGCTGCTGCAAAAAAAGTTGCCATGGCCTGCTGAGACTTGAACTCTGCCACCTTACAGATACCGGTTGGTGCAGGGGGGGTTCTATGGGTAACCTCTGGGTTGCCATATGTTGCTAGGGTTGCTCGGATGTTTCGACATAAAAACACCAAGAGACCTCCATCATGAGCAGGAAAACCGGATCCTGGAGAGCTTCAAGATCTCAAAAATGCCCCTACGTGCCGAGCATGAGCTTCAATGAGGGCGCAACACAAGATCTGAATTACTTCCAAGGGTCTGCTTTGATGCGATTTGCGCTTGCCTTGCAGCCTTCGCATGCACGAGCCAGGCGGTGGACAGCCGTAGACAAGTTGACCCCATTGAGCTGGTGCAAATGCACCGCAACCACTCGCAGCACCTGCGACATACTGCGCTTGCTTGCGGAATGTTCCGCACGGCGAAGATGCACGATCAACTGATGATGTTGTTTTAATAAACCCATCCTGTTCTTGCCTTTCTGCATCTGGAGCTTAGAGAACTCAAACTTATGTAGAACACCGTCGGCAATGAATTGGAAGCTCAAGACACTGTTCTTTACAGCCTTTGAAGCTGTTGCGAAGCCGGACATAGAGCCAATCACCATGTACATCGCTGCTCTGGGGCGAGCAAGTAGTAGCTTGCTGTGTTTCGAAGTTCGACAGCTTCAAAGTTCCCAATTCCAATGTGGGCTCTTGCATAAAACTCTTCCGAGTAGTTCACACCCTTCTGCGTGCGAGGGACTGCCTCTTTCAAAGTGGTCGTTGTGGTGAACCCTCCTTCTTTGACTGAGGCATCTCACGCGGATAGATCTTCCTAAGTTCTTGCCCACCCGCGTGTTCTAAGATCCACCCACTCCGACACGTGGACGACCCATTCCTTCGTAAATGAGCCGGATGGGAAGGGAGCAGCTCCTTAGGAAGGGTCTTTGTCAAGCCTTGCTAGACGCACCGGTGGCACCGAAACGCCCCCACGCACGACATCAATCCCAAGCCGACTAGTTACAACATCGAGCCGCCAAACATCTGCAAATGCTGCACTTTGCAATCTCCGAAGCTCCACGCTGCAAGCTACACGAAGAACGAGAATAATCATTGTAGAAAACGCTTTTTCTTTTGAAGACACGTTTGGAGTGCAGCTGTAGGACCTAGCATGCATCAGATCACTGAGGCCTCAGTGATAGCATCCGCCTGCTTGGCTGCGGTCGTAAGTTCCTGCAGCATGCGCGATTGCCCGCATCATTGCAAGTCTCACTGAAAAACATCGTATATTCCAGCAATGCTCAAGATCACGAAGGCAGGTTCGCAATCCCAAATGAGAGGGGCAGATACAGGTAGCCATCGAGCTCAGAAAAGAGCACTAAAAGCAGCCGAAAAGCCGACGAAGCCCTCCTGGGGCCTAAGGAGGCTCGGAAAGTGTCTCATCTACCCACCCACGTCTCTCCGCCTCCGAGGGGTTTTGGGAGGGACCTCCCCTTCCTGCAACTCCCTCAAGACTGCCGATCACCGTACCCCCCTTGCTAAGGACCCCCTTTGAAATCGGGAGCCTTTCTGGCCTGAACTTTCCCAGCGCGAATCTGGGGAGGTCGCAAAGGTTGCCACCAGCCGTATTGGCTCAAGCTACCCCCCAACCATGGGAAGTTTGGAAGCCTGAGTCCTGAGAGGCTCCCTTTCATTGCGCATACAGATGTATACAGCGGGGAGCGGAGGCGCAAGCCGCGGCCCGGGTCGGGAATGGTCGGGCCGGACTGCGAGAAAATCACTGCAGCAGAAGAACAAGAGAACAAGCCCTCTCGTCTCCTTGTTGATGCGCTTCTGCATAGCCATATTACAAGTACTGGCATCGAACATATGAGGCATAGTCTCGACCGAGTTGTCATGGCCAGGATTGCCAGCCGTCATGAAGCCAGCATGATCATTGTTCACACTTGCGCACGATGGTGCAACATTTAATGCCACGCATGGGTTGTTCGGCTCTCTGCCGAGGCCTTGCTGGAACCCTGGGACAGGGTCACTCAAATTCAAACCAGGGGGGCAGCCATGTGGGCAGGACAGCTGCGAGAGCTTTTGGAGAACTTGCAGCTGCAAGTGTGGAGGCCAAGCAGGAAGGCCGGTGCTCGGAACTGGAGACTCACACTCGCTCGTGGTACTCCAGGATGCAGGTGATGTCTGCTGACATTCACCACGTTCAAAACGCAGGCTCATAGCGCAGGGCATCATTTGGATGCCCTGAACTCTCAATCTGGTCGTTACAATTCTCTTTGAGCCGAACTCTAAGAGACGCAAACGATTCAACACCAGCATGCGGCAAAGCAACAAAGCTTCGTCCTGTACCCAGAACGAACCCACAAAACAGCTCGAAAACACTTGAAGCATGGGCTGCCCGTCTGGAATCAAAGTGGGACTTGAAGCCCAGACTCCTCGCCTGTAATGAGCGAGATGTCATGCTTGCGAGTGAGATGCCCACGTCCCTGCTTCTGGGCCAAAATCTATTGCGGGCCTTCGCATGATGACTGTCTGAAACATGACATGTGCTCAGAAGTGCCATGCTGATGCACAGTTCATGCAGAGTCTTCTTGTATGCCGCGCACAAGGTAGTCACAGGCCTCAGACAAGATCGAACTGTGATGCCACGATAGACCAACACGTGATGCAAGCTGCACCCTATACTGCCGTACCTTTGAAGAGTAGTATTGCACACTTGCCGGGGACGGCACAAAACGTCTTGACGCTGATCTTGTGCCACGGCCTGCTTCCGTCCAAGCTGCTGTGGAATCATTCTCCAAGCTTCCCTAAATTCACCAGTCGGGTCAGGATGCAAATGCAGCCGGGTGCGCTTTTTGGAACATTTGTTTTTCTGTTGTTCTGCCCAATGCGGCCGAAACCTATGCAATCTATCCATCATGAGCACAACCCTCCGCTTGGCTTATTGCCCGAAGCAAACCCGCACAAAAACACACTAGCCAGCATGGGATCCAGCAGCAGCTGCCACAAAGGCATCTAGCACAATCTAGTGCCTGCAGCGGTGACAACAACTGGGAATTCAGCTGCTGCTTTCACCAACATCAAGTTGAGAGATGGCGTTTCTTCCTGAACAAGTTCACCTGGTTACCGGCCACTAGTAGCTACAATTTGACTGCCATCTCCTGCACACAATTGAAGCCAAGTCAAAGCCGATGTGCATCAGATGAGGCTGAGGCGATGCCAAGTCTCACGTTGTGAGACACGAACTTCCAAATTTTCTTGCGAGGCCGTTAAAGGCCAGCCTCAGCCGGAAAATCTGCACAGCCTGCACAGCCACAAGCCGGCTATGAACTCCTGCTCAGCAAGTCCGAGCACAGGCTTCATGCCAGCCTTTGCCAACCGCAAGTCGGTCTCTTTTAAGCTCGCTTATGCCCACATAGACTTGGGGCATGCGGCCGAAAGGCTCGAGGGCGCATAGCATCCATAGCCTTCAACGCCACAAGACTTGGCGTCTTCCTTGTGCACGTATGTGCACCCACTTCGAGACTTGCAGGTGCTCCATGACACCCCGCTTCCGCCACAAGAACCGGCTGGACTGGGGCCTGGACTTGGGCCCGGGCTTGGGGATGGGCCTGGGCCTGGGCTTGGGGATGGGCCTGGCGATCCGCCAGCATAGTCTGCTGTCGCACCCTTAAGAAGTTCGCTCATCCCAGTATGAAGTACGTCGTCTTCCACCACGAAGAACAAGCCACCACGACCATTCTGAGAGATTTCACAGCTGTCTTCGCCACCGGCATTTCCATTCAAGCTTCCCTGCTGATTCATGTCGGCCAAGATCGTCAGCTTCGAGCCGGACAGGCTGTGTGCAAGCTTTGCATGGTTGCCATTTGTGGTAGGGTGCCCTTCAAGACTAAACGTCTTTCCCCCAAACTGGCCACTCAATGCCACCTGTACTTCCTTGGGTGCTTGCAAAGTCTTGTTCCAACAGCCTGGTACAAAGCCAGCCTTCGTGGAGTTGATCTCCGGTTTTCCCCACCAGGAGGCCGTGCGCAAGGGGGCACCAAGAAGGGAGGAGACCATGAGCCAGGGCGGCACATGTAATCCCGAAGGCTTGGCAATGAGCCGCACCTCAGGGAATAAAGCGCGGGCAAAGCATGACGGTGCGAGTGCTCACACGACATTTGCCTTGAGCGATGCTTTTAGCTACTGGTTTTGAAAATAAGGCACAGCATGGGCCCCTCGTGACTATTGTGACTCCGGCAAACATCATCCCTAAGCTGCACCTGGCTCGTGGTCTTTACACTGAGGGTCTCGGAAAACGGCGTGAGATTGTCCAAGACCTGCCGGCCTAGCTGCTTGGCCAAGCTGGAAAGCTCAGCCGGGCCAGAGGTGAGTTTCACCAGCTGATCATTGCTGGGGTCTGTTGCAACCGACGCTCTCTGCAAAGCTTGCAGAACTGTGCGTGTGTCATCCAGCGTTGCCAAACGCAGCGCGAAGAAGTGCTGTGCAACCTTGATGTTGTCGTCCTTAACGCACCCCAACGTGTTACCCTGAGTGCTCCGAGGCTTTGAAGCAGAGCCCGTCCCTGGCCAATCAGGTGTGGTTACCTGCATGATGAAGCCAGTACCATCCTCATCCCAAGCCATGACCCCCTTGCTGTGGCCCCACGGACCCGCACAGTACTTGACGCAAGGAGGCTGGATGTTGAGCTCCGGATCATCATAGAACTGGTCGTTCCATATCACATAATTTGGCGCACTGCCTGAATACACCTGCGCAAAGGTCTTTGCTACTGGGTCGTCCCCGTTTCCCAAGCAGTCACTGTGAAGCTGCATTGCAGACGTCTGCCCCTTGGTGCCATGGGATAGGACATACTGCAAGCCCCAGCCCTTGTAAGACTCGGTGCTTCCACCGAACATGCAAGTAATCTTGGTGGAGCATTCAGGGAAGGCATCGGTAGTGGGCTTGAAAGCAAACCACCAGTCCACGGCGGTGCCATCACCGAGAAGCGGTGCTGGAGAAGTGGCGCCTTTGGCAAGGAACAGTCCCGCAGGCTCTGACCACTCTGACCCCGCCGCCAAGTTAGCCAACTTAGCAAACAAGCCCACAGCGGCGCACAGGCTGATGCCAAAGACCAAGCTTGCCCTCACCTTCTCTTTGCAGGACTTCACAGGTGTCTCGAGATGGAGTGTCTCCATTGCTGCTATTCCCGTTTGCTATCGCTTCGGTCTTTCTGTCTTGGACAGAGGCCTGCAAAAGCAACAAGCGACATCAAAGTTGGCCACGCCGATGCCGCCCACGCAACACTCAAAGAAAACACTTACCGAAGTGTCAGGTGTCAATTGTCAACATCGGCAAGGTCCACACTCTCAACTGACTCAACTTTGTTCCCTTCCACAACCCGTCGGATTGTCGCGCCTTGTCAGCCTCTAGCCACTCAATCTTGCGCGCCAGCCTCAAATTCAAACTGAACATGCAAATACAAGTGCTGCAGTGACAGCCAGCTGTAGTACTGAAACATCATCCCAGTAAACACCCTCGATGTGGCAAAATCACGCAAACGTCAGACCTTGGAGAGTGCGTAAAAAAGAGGCCACTCATGTTCAAGGTAACCCCGCCCCCTCCCCCCCTCACCCCCAAATTAAAGTGCCCCCCCCCCTGCTCAATTCCACAGTTTTTGGTAGAATTCCTATTGGTATGAATAGGAATCCAATCAAGAGGATTTCCATTCACTCTGATCAGATGTCGATTAAATTTTAAATTGGATTTCTATTAATTTTCATGGCATTTCAACTCAAGTGAAACCCTATTAAAATACTATCTATTGAAAATAATTGAAATGCCAAAAATAGAAACTCAATAGAAACCCTTGCACCCGATTGGATAGAATTCCAAATTTTATATTTTTCTATTCACATAAATCGAAATCTTATTACAATTGATAAGAGGGTGGGGGGGGGGGCAACGGGGGAACTCTTATTAAAACTGATGAGGGGGGCAGTGGTGGCCCCCCCCCTCAACTGAGCGAGGAGAGGGGGGGCCCCACCGTCCCCACCCCTTCAACAAGAGAGAAGGGGGAGGGGGCAGGGGCCGGGAGGGCGGGGGTGGGTTGGGGTGGGGGGAGTGGGCGCAGCGGCCCAGCTGCAAAAAGCAAATTTTGCTCAGACGGTCCTTACTCAGGTGGGAATCCCCAACAAACAGCTCGGGCAGCACCCCTAAAACCCCCTAAACCTTTGCGAGGCCGCATCGGGCTATCGCTTCTTTGAGCTCCGGGCAACAGTTTCGGGCCCAGCTGCAGGGGATTGGCCTGCAGTCATATCACTGTCAGACCTGCCGCCTGCTTGACGCTGCTCACTTACTTGCGGTCAATCTCTGGATTGGGATGGATGTCAAGCCCCACTGTTGCAACATCACACTCCCGCATCTCCCGCTCTCTCTTTGCCTTGCTTGCTGTGCTCCGCGTGGAATCTACGGCCCAATGGTAGTCAGAGAAGCCATTCATCACAGCAATGCATGCACCCTGCTTGCAGTTCTCACAGCCTTCAGATATCCCTCCATGAGTGGGGGAGTTCGTTATTGTGCAAGTTTGGTCTACTAGCACTTCCTATGACCTGCCATTTAACCTGAGACCCCTTCTGCATCCAGGCTTGGGTGAGCGTGCCGGGAAAGAGCTCATGCTGCCCAGGTTCGTTGTAAACCCATCGCAGACAAGCACACCATAAGAAGTAGTCCGAAAGACACGTGCACGTGGTTCTGCTGACTATGTTCCGGGCTTGGGACCCCTTGCACATGGCAACCCCTTGAAAACCACGTGGGAACCACAACGCACTGTCTTACGCCTTGTCACAGTCGCCATCCTGTACCGCCATGTGGAGGGACACGACGACCTGTCCATAAATTTCGAGTGAAGGATATTGACATACATGAACGGCAGAACGCACCACCAGTGCACAACACGACACGTCACAAGCAACTGTAGCACCTGCACGGGGCAGCCCGGCAGCCAGCAGCGGTACCTTGTCCAAAGAAATATACAAAGATGCTCGCAACGCTCGCAATGCTCGCACACAGATCGGGTCAGACTGCAGGTTTGCACTCGGACTTTGAAACTAGCAAAGTCGAAGGAGCTCAACTCTCAGCGCCTCACCTGGTTCTGTGAACGTTTGCAGCGCAAGGTGCCGATGAGGCCTGGGCCAGTGAACCAGCACAACGCACTTAGCACCGATGAAGGCCATCTTCAATGAAACTAGGCCATGGCATGCCTACGACATCACTCCCCATCGATCTCCATCTTGCTCGGACGGCACCTCCACTCGAAGTCGGAAGCATCCAGCACACCTCAAGTCGTTCACAAGCGCTCACAAATATTCCCTCTCAAGGCAGGCTTGCTGGCTAAAGCCATGCATGAGTGAGGCTTGTGAGGCTTGTGAGGCTTGTGAGGCTTGTGAGGCTCTGAGATCTCTGAGGCCACAGCGGCCCGACTGGGAATGCCAGGTCGAAGCCACGAAGGCATGGGGCCCAAGCCTCCGGCCTGACAAAGCTTTCTAGATTGGAATAGTATTGCAACTGCCAAGCCCCACCACCTTCCAGCACAGCGAAACATGTGAATCATGTTTTTCCCACGGGGAGCACGCGCAAGTCTGTCAGCATGGCTAGCGTGCCGTGAAGCTTCTTCGCTGCTTCCTCAGACAGCTCCCTGTGTTCCTGCAAGGCCGACGTATAATGCATACGCACCGAGTGCACATGCTCCTGGACACTCGAACTCGAGGCTGATGTGTCCCTAGCCTGCTTGGACACATGTCCAGTCTCAGTTTCAAGGACCTGACGTGATGGCTGGAAGAGCATCTCATCTTGCACGATCTCCTTGGTGCTTCCCGCACTCTCGTTCCAAGGTGATGGGAGCACGGCATCGAAGGCAGCTCCCAAACTCCGCAACTCCTGCTTCAGCTCCCGCTGAGTAGTGCCGAGTAGTGACTTGTGCAAGTTGTCCCAGTGATCACGCAAGTCCTTGGCTGTGTGCCGCCTCTTTGTCAGGAACGAAGCTGGTGCAGCAGGCTCTTCTCGTGCTCTTTGGAGTGGGAGCACAGACTTTTCAAACGCTCGGAGGCTTTCCATCATGTTCTCTCTGAGCATGTTGCAGCCCGTGCGCTTCAAAGGTTCCTGGCTGGGGCGGCTGGGGCGGCTGGGGCCTGCTTCCTCAGCGCCCACAGGGACCACAGCATCTGCACCGGCTCGGAGAACGCTGCCCATCCATCTCCAAAACAGCTCTTCGTCCTTGCAAGGGGGGGCATGCACCGTCATGCACCAGTCCAACCCACAACTTTGGCAAAGCACAGCAGCATCCAACCCTGGCGCTGGACTCGCAAGCCCTGGTGATATGCTTGCCCTTTTCTCAGTCGCAGAAAACGCCTATTGAGAATTGAACATTGCCTTATGGTTTGCCTCAAGCCTCGCCGAATGTTAAACCATGCCTTGTTCCAACAATAAGAGTGAGGAGGGTTGGTTCGCTGCTGGTTGTGGATCAAAATCACGTTCCCGTCTGGGCACGGGCATGGGCTCCCACTCTTGCACTGGCATACGCGGGCGAGGCTCTTGTCCGTAGCTTCTGGTAAGGGAGTTCTGCACGTCGCACGACACATGGCGCACAAAGGGTTTTGATATCCAGATACGCCTCCTGTCATACATGCTTAGAGCGGCTTTGCACGGACACTCGGATTCTCTGCGGGCCTCTCTCTGGACGGGCATTACTCGGCAGAACTCCCTGTGCTCTGCGGGCTTCTCTATTTAACTCGGGATTCGGCGGGGCTCTCTGTGGGATTCACTGCGGGTACTCGGCGGGTTCTCTGAGGGTGGCACTCCATGGATACTCGGCGGGACTGTCTGCGGGCTTCTCTACAGGCACTTCAGGGATATTCGGCGAACTCCAGGGACCAGGCCCAAAAGATCGGACGCGACGCCGGGCGAGGAGGCGAGGAGGCGAGGAGCATGATTGACTTCAAAGCACAAAGACCGCCACATGAAGCCCGAACAGGCCATCGGGGAGTCTAGGACTAAGTTCCTAAGTGGGCAATCTGGCCTGGTGCTGAAGTCAGTTGTTTGCTGCGTTTCTCTTCTTTTCATCTTTCGTCGTTTTGTAATCTGCAGTGGCGTCCGCATGCTGCAACCTGCTTGACCGCTTGCAGCGCCTGCACAAGCCTGCCTCTAGCAAGTTCTACAACTAATACTCACGGTAATCTTCTATGTCCCTACTCCCTATTACTGCGTCTTTTCCTGCAACTAGAAGACGACCCCAACCCCACGGAGGATTACAATCATTGGTCAGGACCCCGACCTTCGAGGCCTGTAAACTGCCGATGCTTTGCTGCAGGTCTTGCACATGCTCTTGCAACAAAGAGCGCTCCAACACATATAGTTCATACTGCGTGGGCGGCTGTAAAGTCTTTCGCTTGTCGGCCATGTCCAGGGACTGAAGCCGGTGGGACGCCAGATTCTGAATCTGCTTGAGCAAGGAAAGGCGGTGCGATTCCAAATGCTCCAGCCTCCTCACTTCTGCATGCCACCGGCCGTGGAGCTGAAGAATGTGGTGGTAGAGTCTGGCACCGCTCGGAGATTGTCGACCAGGTGATGCGGAGACCCGATCCAAGCCAGCGATATCATGTGGATACGGTGGCAACGGATGGCAGCTTTTGATGCTGCGGGCAGCAGTCAAAATCTCAGATGTGCTTAGCAAAAAGCCAACTGCAAGAAGGAGCTCACGGGTGTCACTGCTGTCACCCAGAGAATCTGCACGAGGGTATCCCAGCAGCATCAACCGAAAAACAGCAACCTCTTTCTGCAACCCAGACAGCTCTGCCACGGATTCTCGCAGAAGTGGGGTCCAACCAGTTTGTGCACTGGCTTGTTGAAACTCCAGCAGGTCTGCCAAGAGCGCCCACATGACAGGACCCACAGAAACGTCGGCATGCTTTGCCAGGCGTAGGCATTCTGCGTCCACGTAGCGGATGCCGGCTTTGTGCAGGGCGCAGCAAACGAAACTCAGTGCTGCTCTTGTGCGGGCAGCATCACCCATTCACAAGGGAGTGCTAGTTATAAACTCAAAGCATGCGCCTACACCGGCCTACGCCTGCAAGGGCCAGGTGACATGCTCACAGCATATTGAAGTGATGACAGCTAAGCAGCTCCATGCAGAAGCTCTATGGGCTATGAGCAGGCCCGAACTGGTGTGTGGGATAAAACTTCCAGAGTCCCGGGAGTCTTGAGAAACAGCCAATGAGACGAACAAGGCAAAGATCTGAGCAATGCTCTGGAGCGACAGATGCACCCAAACTCTGAACATAGTCAAAGCTCGGAAACAAGCATGCAGCAACTAGAACACTCCCTGGCACCACCTGACCAGCTGCTTTTCACCCGCAAGCTTGCTAGAACGGGTGAATGAAGGCCACCGGGGCCTTGATGCCCAGGACTCCGCAGCTGCTTTGGGCACCACCTGGACTTCCCCCCCCCTCCCTGTTGAGGCAGCGCCATCCAGACATGCAACGAACAACGCTCTAGCACAGTAACGCTGTAGCAGCCTCAAAGGGCTTAGGCTGGGCTTAGGACTTGTGGCATGTTTAGTCTGCCCCTGGGACATCGCACTCATTTTGCAGACGTGCCTTAGCTCCTCGAAGTCTTGGTCCCGGAGAGCCTGATGGTCTGACGCCTACGGCGCCGGTGCGGTCACCTCAGGGGCGTCGTCCAAAGCTCCAAACTGCGGAAGTGCCGGTCTGCCGGCCTCTGAAGGGTCTGGTAAGGCACCGCTGGGCTGCCCACCAACGGAAACAACAGAGACAGGTGACAAGCTGCGTCCGCTGCGGGGAGTATCCTTCTGCACAGCCCGGGAAACCTCGGGCTCGGCCTTGCTATCCTCGACGACTAAGCGGTAGCCCTGCCCAGAGAACGGCCGGAAAGGCTGCACGCCAGGAATGTCCAACTGCAGGACACCAGGAACGTCGCCATCCGCACCTGCGTTCAAGCCTTGAATTTGTTGTGGTGGCCGCATCATCTCCCGGAACAGCCGCATGGCAAAGATAGCACTCATGAATGCTAGGAATATAGTGGTCCCGGATGAGATCAGAGCAACCCCGATGTCCGTCATTGTGTCATCATGGGGGTGATGCTCCAAGTGTTCAGCGGCACGTTGGTGATGGTGCTCCACATGCTCCGAAGTACCAGAACCGCGATCCCATACGTCATCGTCTAGCGTGTCTAGCGGATCCAGATCAATGGGGTCCAGAGCAGGTCCCTCTATGTCCAGCCCTCGACTACGTATCATGTGCCATGGCCCCGTCACCCATGGTCCAGGCTGGCCAGGCTGGCCAGGCTCCTCAATCTCACCAATCTCACCGAGGCCAGAATCCAGCTCTGCGCTCGCGAGGCCACTCGCTGAGAGGCGGAGATGCCTGCAAGCCGCGAGATCTGTCGCCGGGACCGGCAGCTGAACCGGCCCGACTCTGGCGGCTAGGCCAACCAAGGTGTCTCGGCCTTGTCTCCAGGAAAGCTCGGATCCGAAGACGAACACAGAGAACTCCTGGCGTCTCTGAGGCTTCTCGGGGCCGTTCAGAAAAAGTGCAACTTCTCGGCGGTCCTTGCATCGTCGGGGCACCATCTCGTGCAGAGATCCCTGGCTTCACTGATCCAAAAAGCCAGCGGCAAGCCAAGTCTAGAACGCATACGGCTATGGAATGCTATATATGATTGGAAGCGAAGTCTCCTGCGGGCCTAACCTGCCAGGCATGCAGCTACCCCCTCCGGGTCCCTGGTTTGTTCTCCAATCCGTCTGGCACGATGTGGCGGGCAGTTCTGGGTTGCACGGTACTCAGCATCGCGCAAAGCGAAGCTCCGTCACTTCACCATCTGCCTCCATAGAAGCCACGTCGGCACCTTGGAAGTGGCCCTTACGGCTTCAGCCTGTTTAGACACCCAACAGATTGCCACGACTGGCGGAGAAAGCAAAGCTTGGGATGGCACAAGTGCGGCACAAGAAGCATCAGGACGCGAATGCTGTTTTATGCTAAGGCTTCCTGCCTGTCATTGAAGCAAGCGATGGCTGCAGGATGCTGCAGGCAAGGAAGCTGAAGATGGTGCTGTTCTCGGGTTTTGCTTGTCACTTGCGGATTCTTTCTCTGAACTATCTGTGTGTAGGTTGCGATTTGTGCCGTTCCAACCTCCGAACCTCAACGCTAGCATGACCAAGCGAGTAAGGCCAATGGCACAAAAGGCCATATGCAGCTCACAAGCTGATTGGCTGTTCAGCGAGCATGGAAAATGGCAAACTGTTCTTTCGGCGCTCTGCATGCTGCTTCTCCCAAAATCCCTTAACATCTACACACACTAGAGAGAACTTTGCCCCACGAAGATCCAGGACAAATTCCAACAAGAGCTGGCACATAAGTCCCGCCTCAGAGGCTTTCGTATGCTAACGCCAAAGTTTGCTCCATTTGGAGGGCTTTTTCTGGCATCCCCATCGTCGAGAACGTATATGATTCGCAATCATGTGCCCATCACGGGGAATTAGACAAAATGAAGGGGATGCACCACTGAGTGAAACGCAAACGCCAACTCGACCATCTCCCGTCATTTAGTACTTTTCCCCGCCCACTGGTCAAGACAGCTCGCAGGCGCTGTGTCCGAAACTTGCGTCTCTTTGAGACCTACAAATCAGCACAACTTCCTGATAGTCCACGCACAGACATGGAAAGTATTGTCTGGCGTAAGGTAACATTCGAGGACACAAAAGCTTCTACGTGGAGCGATGGACTACCTCAACCCAAGCTGTCCAACTTATGAATAAGGAGCTACAGCAAGCCAATCAAGAATCAAGCTTCCGGCACCTTGGTCTCACAAGCCAAACGGTGCAAAAAGGCATGTGATTGCCATGCAACCCATCAAACGGCCCCGCATACTTCAACAATTCGTCTGTGATCCCTCCAAGTTTGGAAAAAAGTCTCATATGTGGCTGGGAGAGTAAGCTTTGCAAATGCTTGAGCTTGTTTTTCCTGCATGCGCACAATGGCCACCCTGCCCGAGTCCGTCCGAGCCCATGTGGCCAAGGCAAACCGCAGGTCACCGGCAGCTTGAAGCAAGATCCTGCATGATTCTTTTGATCTATCCAGAACGGGATGCCAATTTGGGGGGTGTTGGGGGTGTTGGGGGTGTTGGGGGTGTTGGGGGTGTTGGGGGTGTTGGGGGCCACCTGAGGGTTTCACATGTAGCCACGGCTCAGAGCTTGCTGTGGCCATCGGAAGCGCCCCTTCGAGCGAATCCAGCCAGAGTACTGGCAACCTTCGGCTGGATTCCACTACAATGCTTGAACTGCGCAACACCACCATATTTTCCGCCAACATCACGATGCAACCAGGCCGCGCCATCGCCGACAGTTTGCCAAAGTGAAGACGGGGTCGAATATTCGCACCGGCACCTTCCTGACTCATGCCCATTGCTCGAACACTAATGAGTTCTCACTAAGTCACTAAGTTATCACTGATGCGCTCGTCTTGTTGGTGGTCCTCTCGGCAGGCCGCCGACCCGCCGACTGCTGCAAAAACTTGCATACAGATAGGACTCTTCCTGAGTGTTCCCTCTTCCTGGTCCACTGCCACAACAGAAGCTGCAAGGTTGTCAAAACATGTTCAAACGCAGGGAGCTGGGACGTGCATTGCGATTCGGTCCCCTCTTTAATTGCCGAAGTTTGCCAGGATCGTCTAGCCCAAGGTGTTCTCAAAGCTTCTTTTTGCTTGCCCAAGACCACTCCTCAAAAACACTTTGTCCGGATCTGAATACTCATGCGTCAACAGCGTATTAAGAGGGGAGCTAAACTCCAAGCCCTGAGCCCTGAGAACCCGAAACCTGGGGTGGTCAGAGTCGCGAGTGCAAGAATCAGTGCATGTTCCTAGCGCAGTCAGCACATCGCCTCCGTATCTTTACTTTCCGTAGTGGCCATCAACTCCCGACCAGAAAGCAGAAGCGTTCTGCGCATCCTGCATAACGTGATTGGACCAAGGCTCAGGACCTCGCATGTGGCGATCAGCAGCTCCTGCACATGATCGCACAGAGCAGAGACAAGGGTCTGCTCTGCACATCGCTCTGCTTTGCTCCTCTGGCTCCATGTACGGTAGCCATGGCGCATGACCAGAAGCCACCTTGACAGTGCGAAATACTGCTCACGACAAACAAAACTGGCAGCTTTGCACCTGTAAAGGACTTAGCGTGTGCACTTCCGCCAATTTGAGTTTTGTTTCGGAAGGGCGTTTGTGTGTGTGGCTGTCGCGTCCACGCGTGATGCACATTCTTGTCCAAATCACGCTCTTCAGTAGGTTGCGTTTGTCGTCTCATCACCTCGACCCCATATTCTGAGGTCGAAACTGTTCTCCCACTTTAGACCCGTGGCGCGATGACGCAGGAGCGCGGCAACGGGGAGCTGTCGCGTTGGCGAAGTGCAGAGAAGCGTCGCGTTGGATCTCTGAGCCTTTTTCCTGGAAAGCTCCGGTGTCTTGGAACTTCGGCTTGCTGTAGCACATAGTGGACATAAGTAGTACGTAATGTACGCGGAGGTTTGGAGCACCAGCTCACTTGTATGTGTGCAGGCGTTCTGAAGAATAGGATTTGGCATGTGGGGATGGGGAGTGCTTAAAAATGCGGGTCCAGAAGAAACCCTAATCTGCCTCGTGTGAATTTGGAGAAAAGAAGCATTGGGCACAGGAGCATTAACAACAGCACCTTAGCTTGGCCACCGCCCGCTTACCCACAGGTCCAGTCCCATATTTTGCCGACCCCCATCCCACTGGCCATATCATCCCGATTGGCCTAAAAAATGCTAGATATGCCGTACGATCCACACGGATCTACTCACAGACATCAACTTCTACACTCCACACTTGTACAAGGCCACCAGCGACCAGCGTCTGAAGTAGGCAAAGGCTAGTGGGCGTGGCACCACTGCATGCCAGTCGTTTGCGGCAAAGGCCTTTGGCTGGTCCTGGCTCGGAGCACCATAATTTCGACGCCACGTTAAGGATTTAAGAATTTCAGGCTTGCGCAAGCTGCGTTCTGACTGCCTATATCCTGCCAGCATGTCCCCGTCTAAAAAAGTTAGCAAATCCCCTGCGCCTTGTCAAGCGTTTGTTCCTGCAGCGTCCCTCCAAGCGGAACGGTCCAGATGCTCTTCTCATCCAGAAGGTGCAGCGGGGGGTGATTTGAAATCCATGCAAGATCCAGGCGACTGTAAAGCAGCCATCTGAACGGATACCCTCGCCGCATCTCATGCGCTTCTGTCAAGTCCAACACCTTTTGTAGCTTCACGAGGCTGTGCAGAGACCCTCCTTTGCTGTGTTGGGCGAGGGGCGCCAAAGCCCGTCCGCCCATTCGCTGATAACGCTCCAGGGCCCTGAAGACAGAGAGTAAGCACTGCTGTCTTTTTGGGGCAAACGAAAAACAGGTCCTCGCTCTTCCTAGCAGTTGCATGCTTGTGACTTTGACTCTAGATTCTGTAGCATTGTTGGAACAAGGTGCGATGCTGCTTCTTGTGCTTCATTTCGGCTTTCGGCTAGGCTAGACCTTTAGGTCACCCGATCCTGAACAAGTTTGCATCAACCAGTTCGGACCACAATCCCACAAGAACAGACTCATGCTGTGTCCTAGGTCCTCAATTCAACCCTCACAGTGAAAAAAACTCTCAAGTGCTGCAGCATATGCACAGGCCTACCAGCCTTGGACGGATCTTGCCACGGAGGTCTTCTGCAGAGTCGTCTATTTCCCATGCAAAGGCTGCTAGAGACGGCAGCAGCTTCTTCATGGAGCGACGCTCCACCCAGCCATGTCGCTGTCCCCGACGGCTGACCACTGCAAAGACCTTAGCCTTCAACGGCCTCACTAAATGCCTCTGTATACTGGCCACAACTCCCTCATCGAAGCGCCAGTCGCCCGCAAACAGTACCGCGGTGCCTCTGGCAGGTTTGGCAGGTTTACCCGAGGCCATGCCTCGGCTCGCTTGCGCTCTGGGCAGCCTTGGCTGCTCGACGGCTGTGAAAATGACCGGATGTGGAGCCTTGCCGGGGTCCTCGAAATGTATCAGCCAAGTCTTACCCAGCTCTCGCGCAGCTTCAGGTAATTCCATGCTTTTCTGGAACTCTGCGTGCTGGTCAGCGGCAACCGCGAGGCGGAAGGGTAGTCTTGTATGGCTCGCGTAGCATCCAGGAACGAGCAGGTCTTGCGACATGAGCGTGCCCGATCGGAGCCCCTGATACAGATAGAGTGGCGCCAGGAAGCCTGCATGCTTGCTGGAAACATCTGGAAACACACTCTTCGACCCTTGAGAGGGAACTCAAGGCACCTGAAAGACTCGGTCCATTCGCGCAGATGCTTCTTAAACCAGAGGTTCACTTAAAGGGGGCTTTGTTTGAGTTTCCGGCCTGCCACCACCTCAACGGAGCACGCTAGGGGCACACAAAGCAGCATGAGCTCCTGGAGGTTGGCCATGTCGTAGTTGAGCTTCACCGCTTTGAGCATCTGGATCCAGACCACGCGACCCGGCCTGGACACCAAAGTCACAAAGCCGAATGTTGAATGCCGCAAATGTGCAGACCTGGACCCTCCGTGCAGCCTACAGCAGTGCAGCGTACAGAGACTGGCCCAGCACACACGCGAGCACACGCGCGATAAACGCACGGCACATGCGCATTCCAGGGGCCTTCTCTGACACGCTTGCATCCAATGCAACGACCCACGGCGAAGGTCGCCGCCTGAGATTTCCCGATGGCTCCAGAATGCTCACCATAATACCTCACAACATATCTTCTGGAGTATTCTAGAGACACAGCTTAAGGGTGCTTGAGGTATCTAAGGCAAGTCTGAGTCCATTTTTTGAATCCACGACCCAAAACATCCATCTGGTCTGCAGTTGCGGGGCTGCTCGAGCCGCGCAAGAACTCTGTGACATCCACCCCTTGGGTTCAGAATGCCAGCCCCTTGCACAATGAAATACCCTGGCTCGTCATAGTGAATTAGCAATATTTGATAGTCTAAATGGACAATGTTTCATTCAACATGCCTGCCACCATATCTTCACAATGTTTGCTGATATTTTTGTTACTATGATTATTTGCCAAATCTACAGATACATTACTTGAACAAGATGCTGCATTTAATAACTTTCTACGTTTTTATACACCCGACAGCTGCTATGAGGTGCTTCACAAAGCCGTCCGGCAAGACTCCGTAAGGTGTCCAGCTCGTCGCAACCTCCAGCAAGACCCTCTCTGCAACACATCAACCAAAAGGCCATGTACACACTGAGCAATGGCATGTCGCGACATGAGACCAGGGCGTTTGTTTTCGTCTTTTTGTGGTTTCCGCTTTTTTGGGTTTTCGTAGAAAAGCCGCTCTGCTGAAAGCCACACCTCCATCTCCTCCACATCGCCCGAGAACCTCTGCTTCCCTGGCTCGTTCTTTTCTGTCCTTGAAGTGGGTAGCCTCCATCTCCTCCTTTTTGAGATAGCAACCTCGATTTCCTCTGTTCGATCGGAGAAGATCTATCGTTCGCAAACTTGTTTTCGAGACGTTCTTGCTTTCCATGGATTATAGCCGGGGCCCGTGTCAAGAGCATCAACGGCGCGAGCCCAGAGAGATGTCCCAAGGACCCGCAAGCCGCCCCAAAGGCCTCGAGGCTTTTGGCAAAGTGCTCGTCCTGTGGCTGGTTGCCGGTGTGCGACGAGACCTTAACTGGTGTTGCTTGTGCTGGCGAGGGCCAAGGTGGGCACCGGGTTCCAGCTGTACCCGGACCGGGGTCCAGCAACGAAGCGGTACGACGAAGGCTGCGGAAAGGGGCAAGGGCCGAGGGCAACAAACATCAGGTGCAAAGGCGGACGTCAGCGGGCGGGACATGCTTGAGGCGTGGGCGAGGGATGCAGGGAAGTCGGGTTTCTTCGCGGGCTGCTTTGGGTGCTGGTTCTCTCTGCTCCGTAAATGTAGTTGTGAGTGAAGAGAAGAAGATATATGCGCCGGAGGTAGCCACGACCCGATAAGTCCATGAGCAAAACTAATTTGAGTTGCGAGCTGGGCGCGGTGGTCTCCAGGCATCATGAGCCCATTATGCCAACTGGGGACACTCCGACGGAAAGATACTCGACAGGCTAAAGCAGACTCGGGGCATCTCGGGGCACCGAAAACAAACGCCCGCTGAACCGAAACCGAGTCAGAGAACGAGCGGCGAAACATTGGATCAAGTATTTTGTACAGCCTATTCCACGCACCCGACTTTCCAAGAAGTTCAGCAAGACTTGGTGGCATCTTTCTGGACACAAAGCACATGAACCCGGCATCAACGCGTACAACTTTCTTAACGCTGCTATGACTGGATGCGCTTCGTCTCGAACGAACGTACCGGCACCTAGCGAACACTCAACTTCATGCTGAGCCAGTCCTCCTTAACCTCTCTGTGCTTTCCAGATGTTTGTGCTACTCCCTCACCTAACCTCCCAAGATCTTCCTGAAAGTGGCAAGGTCGCTGCTGTCTTGGCCACGAGCGCCGAGGTGAGTCGCGTAGCGTTAACAAAATATTTGTGTACACAAACTCAAAAGGAAACAGACTCTGCAGATATGAATGGTACGAACGTTTTCGTCTGCAAGCCTACAGAACAGGAAACGAGGAAATAGATTCCTGTCTCGGACAATCCAAGAAAACAAGAACAAAAAACAAGAGCCCCCCCAAACCAAACCACAACCCACAAGCCTCGCGGAAGCATCTGGCGGCGGCATGTCTGTTCGGCACTTCCAGAGTGTCCCAGTGAGTCCTGCATTGAGCACCTGCAGCTGCTCAAGCGTTGTTTTTTGGTATGAGAAATATGCTCACACTTGGGCCTTGCAGGGAGGCTCTACAAAGAGTAGGGTATAAGCTAGTATAAGCAGGACACAGGTGCTGCCCTGAAACCAATGGTCGCCAACGGCACGGCTACAAGCTCAGGCCCCTTGTAGAGGTCTCTCCTAGACTCTTCGTGGCCGGAACAGCATCGACCCACACAACTCCCCGACATGCTGTTGAACTGACGGGTCACACTCTGACCGCAAAGCAGTAGTCGGCACTCGCTGCGAGGCGTTCAGCAACAGCACGCTGCCGCATGCCAGGGCAGCCATGGCCACGCAATGGGGATGTCATCGTGTCAAGACACTCTGCAAGATGCCTGGCCCCTGCAAAGCGACCTGCATGCCTCATCCAGCACCCGCGACAGACCCGCTTGGAAAAAGAGTGTGCACGAAACAAAGCATTTGTATGATGCAGGCGTGGTTCATCAAGAGGCGGAATACATATTACTGATCACGTCAGAAAGTCCACAACCGGAAACAGTTGCAATCATCAAGCTCGAAACTGCTCTGTGCCATAAGGCTCCCGACTCCGTCAAGCTCCATCCTCCAGGGCTGGTGGCGGATGCTCTCCGTTTCCTTGGGACTGTGAGGCACCGTGCGTCCGTGAAAAATGCACAACTTCGGAACTTCTAACCGCTGCCACGTGGCCGATCTCCAGCAGCGCGTCAGAAGGCTCGGGCTCCAAGTAATTCCTGATTACAGCTGACTACAGTTGCTGACTGCCCTGCAGCTGCTTGGCGCCCACTCAGAAATATGCTATCTGTCGAGGTGCTTGGCAAGCTGATCTAGGCAGATCACATCGCCGTGATCCTTGGCGAGAAATGGCTGTCGCGCATGAACTGCTGCATGATTGCTGCATGCCGCACTAGCAAACGAACGAAGTTGTAACCTCACGTCATCCATTCGAAACTCATCTTGCAATGGCAAGAGTCGTCATTGATCGCTGCCCACAGCCGCGTAGCATTGCCAACGTAGCCGGCTTTCTTGCAACCCATGCTGAACCTGAGCAAAAGATGTCTTCAGTCAATCTTCTTCCTGTAGACCAATTCCCGACTCGATCTGCCCAATCCTCCAGAACCTACTTGCCTGTAGACCTCCGTGGCACTTCTTCGATGGAGTCTCCGGCTCACGGTGAGGCCCACGCTGTGTGAAGTTGACCACCCCGAGTCCATTCAGGTCGAACGCCTGGCACCAGATTTGCTCCCTTCACTTGCCACACAATGCCACATAAGTACTGCCCCTGACTGTAGCATGCGACCATCTAAGTGCCTCGACCCAGGCATCATCGACGCTGCCAAACCTGTCAGTGCTTATGTGCCTCTTAGACTGAAAAGGGCGGCCGAATGAAGCTGCGGCCCCTAGGCTAATTACAAGCACGCGTGTGGGTCTTGACAAGTGGGGTGCTCTAGGAGCCACGGAAGACTTAGTTGTTGGGGATGCCATGTCTTGATATGCCCTGATACCTCTTGTAGGCCGGAACGCGCGTGACACAAGCCCCCGACAATCTCACATGTTTTCTGAGCCCACTGTAGACCAGGCACTTTGCCGTCAGAAACTTCTGAAACTCTGCCACAAAGATCTTCAAGATCTCCTAGGAAGCGGGGGCGCCGCCAAGAAGCGCTGTGATTTCTTTGGTATTGGGAGCAAGCATCTTCAAAGCTTTGCCGAGATGCCGGTGACCAGGAAGCATCGAGGAACGACAACGACAAAGCATCGGCACTGACCTCATACCTGGGCAGATGAGGGCATGGCTGCCCGACAGTCTTTCTATCACCTGCTCTTCTCTGTTCTCCTTCCAAACAAGCTCGAAACTGACTTCACCGCAGCATCTAGTCAGCCATGATGCATTATGCCGGTTAAATGGACCTGGTCGTGATTCCAGACACCATCTTTCCTGACCGGGATGCTGGCATGACTTGCTAGCCCAGGTGTCAAGTTAACTTGACGGTGTGCCCATGCAGATTCGAAGAATGGACTAGCTTGGTCGCAGGTGAGCTGCCACATGAGATCGCCACCAATGCCCGAGCCTTTGCAGCTTTCAGCATGCTGTCTTTAGAATAAACAAGCTGACGCAGAACTGTTGGTACAAAGCAGCTTTTCAACGACGGGGCCTTGTGTGGGTCGAATCTGAATCAGGTGGAAGGCCCCAGGTCCAGATCCCGGGGTCACCTCTCTAGGTAGCGCTCTGAGCGCATGCATGCATGCGAAGTGCCAAACAATGCATCTGGGGCAGCAGCAAAATGTAGCACCTGAAAGCACGAGAAAGCCCAAGCATGCAGCGCACATGTCAAGTCGCAAACTGGACACCACTCCAGGGACCAAAGAAGGGGCAAAGGGACTAGCCGATCCAGGACCAAGAGATGAAAGCAACGGATACCCCGACGCCATGGTCAGTTGCAAGCATTTTTTGAATGTTCGCATATCTTCCGACGGCCTCATCTCTTGCGTTTGAATTGAAGCCCGAAAACAAGTGGAGGAAGCTGTGAACGGGAGGCCAGAGATTTAAGCACACGAGCATTTCAAAACAGAGAGGAAAAAGAAGAGCAGAGCAGATGCGGAAGAAAGGGCAAAGCCCCAGCATGGACGAAACACCTCGTAAGCACGCGTGCGAAGTACTTCGGACACTGCCTCCTTCGGCCGGCAGCTCTCTGGAAGCATGGCCAGTGGGCGTTTGGATTCCATGACCTGACAAGCCATCAGAGCTGGGACTGAAAGTCGCTGCTTGTGTTCTTGCATGTCATGGCATGCTATTGAAGCTTTTTTGAAGCTGTTTTCCGACCCTGGCTGCCACCCCTGTGCTGGGGTCACAACATAAAAGCACTCGGATAGATGGCCCTGAAGGCAAACCAGCCGCGAGCCGCGAACATCCACCGTGTGAAGCGTCACCTCTCTCGAAGGTTCTATAGTCTACGGGTATGGGTGCTATGGGCACGCATGGGGTACTGTAAGAGGAACATGGAGCCGCCTCATCCGTCAGAGAGATGCCACCCTGTTTGCAGAATCGGATAGCGGAGAGATCCTCGAGATTGAAACATCAACCAAGAGCACACGTACGCATCACCAAGAACCCTGTGATGCAGGAAGTCCAAAAGAAGTTGGCTCTGCGGCTCTACATCTGCTTCTGCCGAGGAACTATGGCCCCCTCCATCTCACGAGTGGAGTGGCCGCATATCCAGCCATCGGGAGTGACTGTCAAGGCTACGCGGCTGGAAGTGTAGGTGATGTGACCTCAGAACAGATCATAAGTCAGCGCAACTGACTAACAGAAAGACCCCAAGAACGCAGCGGAAGCGCCAAACGCACAACCGTCCAGTACTAAAAACTGCATGACAAAGCCATATGCCACAAACATAAGCAGAAGGCCTGACCACGACCAAGTCACGAAAGGAGCCAAGCACTAATGGAGAAGCAAACTCTTGACCCTGATGACCCTTGACCCCTTTCCCTTCGCGCGACAGCTGTCACCATAAACACCTGGATGTCAAATTGGGCTGGTTAAACAAGCTTGTTTTTCGCAGCTGCAAACACCAGATTCCAGTCTAAATGAACCCAGCACTTGTATCGAGGAAAGAAGGCAGCAAGTCTGTGCAACTTCAAACCATGGCAAATGTCAAACCGACGGCCGATCCTATGTGCAAGTGCAGCTGCAAACACCTGAGCCACCTGCCACCAACATCATAGGCTTCTCTCGAGAGCGCCGCAAACTGAAGGCCACGGCGCGGGCGCGCCTGACAAGCCCAGCCCTGGCTTGCAAGGTGGAGGACGCTTTGCAGCACCCTGCCTCCACTGGCAGACGGCATATGCGAATGTTCCTTCGAGCACGTGCTTAGCCCAGAAAGTTCAGCCACAACGCATGCCTTGCAGGCAGTCCTGCCGTTCTCAGGATCGTGGGTCTTCGGGCAGGTGCCGATGACCACACCACGACACTGGACAAAGGAGTCTTCAAGGATGTAGCACCTTTGCCAAAAGCAGCCTACACTATGTTCTGGCTGGGTTCACTCACTGGGGCTCCACGCCAGACCGCTCCCTGGGCCGTGAAGTTTCCAGGAGCAAGTCGAATCTGAAGAGGCTTGGCGCCCTTGAAAGGACATTATAGGACAGTTACACCAGGATCCGCAGCCCATTCTGAGATATTCTCAGATATACTGAACAACACAAGCGGCATCACTGCCACAATATCGACAGGTTTCTCGATGTTGCGGGTGCGCCGGCTTGTCTCGAACGTTGCATGTGAAACCGCTCTAGGGCCCCGAATTCCACATAACACTGCACAAGCTCGCAAGCATGCGCTAATCCTACGAAATGTGAAACAGAACACCTTCATCACGATGCTTACAAAGATGGGGCCGGACTACAGGCACCAATGGTCGCCCCGTGGGAATCATGGTTGACCATGCTACGTCTCTCCTCATCCGAAGAGAAGCACTGAGCAAAGCTCCGTCGGAATGTGTAACAGCCTGCTGCCAAGAAGGCTGACATCCCAACTCCAAGAAATACAAAGGCTATGGCAGGCAAGTCCCACTGTGAAGGAGCAGACTCATCCTCCGGTGTAGGAGCTGTGCTAGCACACAAGCGGAGATCAAAGTTCTCACAGGCACGACACCAGGCGCGCAAGGTTGGGAGACCATGCGAGGCTGCGTAAGCCTTGAACTGAGAGACCGTGCACCCTGCACCGGTTGAACTACAAGGCAGCTCCAAGCTTCGCCATTCACTTGAGCTGTCGGGCCCTGGCCAGTACTGCAATCGAACCACGCGCTCGTCATTGAGAAGGGAAACTTCGAAAGCAAGCACGCTGCTTAAACCCAAGAGCTCTGATGTCAGCCAGCTGTCCCTGGCTTGCCCTGAACTTGCAGAAATGCCAAGAGCTGTCAGGAGGCAAAGCATCGTGGCATAGTGGGCACTGTAATGCACCAGTCGAAGATCAGGGTACTTCTTGGAATCCAACCGCTCACCAATGGCATTCAGGAGTGGTCCGCCACACCGATTGCCAGCTACTTTCTTGCTAAACTTCATGGCTTCAAGCCAGGCCGCGAGCTCTTCTGCCTCTCGCATGTCAGACGAATTTACTGGCGCACTGCCAGCCTGAGCTGCTATCGCCAAGTCATCGTAGGTGTTCCACCAATCAGACAGGGGAGCACCAGTGCCATCATCGTCCGTGACATTCGTGTAACCAAGCGCAGTCGCCACCCGAGTACGGAATACTGCTGTTTGCTCCGCTTTGTCACGGAACTCTGGACTGGAATACCAGGTCTCAACGCTCCGTGCCTGAGACGAGCACAGCGTGTAGCTGCGCAGGATAAAGTCCTCATCTTTGGGCCGGCTATAAACTGGAATTGGGACTACCACAGAGTCGGCCAAGCCGCCACCTGAGGGTTGGACAGCGGTAAAGGCAAACGAGATTAATTGCATGTGGCACTTTTGAAGGAGATCTTGCCCTGCCAGCTTGGTTAGGGCCGGGATGCAATCTTGAAGCATGTTCTGCATCCGAGTTGCTAGGGACAGACCCCTGAGGAAGAAGTCCTGAGGTCTGAACACAGACTCCAAACTAGATGACGCGAACGAGCACAGCAGCTTATGCCATTTTTTGCCCGCCAGGCAGCCTTCGTGAAGAGCATAGGCAGAGCCCAGAGTTCGTGCTAAACCACTGCTCTCAGCACGCACCTTCAGAACCGACACCAAAACGCTCCCGAACATGACATGTCATCCAGCATACAAGATGGCCTCCGTCGGCACATATGTACCATTTCCGATGCTTCCTCCCACAACAGCTTGCCAAGGATGCAATCAAGCACTTGACTCTTGTGGTTCATTGAAGCGGCGCTTTTGTTAGCCCTACCTTTCTTCAGCAGCGGGGCCCGGCCCTGAGTCGGGTCGTTTGCATGTGTTAGTTCATTCGAATGACAATGTCTTCTCGGAATCTCTCGGACTGCCCGAAGTGTGCTGAGTTGCACGCGGCTCCTACAAGCCACGTGACTGAAGGCCCGCCTGGGGTGGAGCATCTTCACTCGCATCATCTGCTGCCGTAAATGGGCCACATCCGGCTCCCCAAGAAATTCTATACCCGGCGCAAACCTCTCCCACTGTCCTTCAGTTACACAAACTGTCTTGCGCGGCTTTCTTCTGGAAGTTGTGGGAAGGCAATAAACACACGGCAGTGTCGCCTTTTTTTCTGGGATTCTTCCCTCATCTTGTCTATCCTGGTCCCCTTTTGCAAGCCCTTCTGGCAGGAATAACACAAATTAATGTGGTCTCAGTTGCACACCCAAACCTTCCAACCTCATCTTAACGGATTATTGTCCCTGCAACAATGATTCCGACACCTGCTTCCGGGTTCAAGGGTGGTTCAGGAACTTGGCCGGAATTCGGCACACACCCTGGCAGGTTCCGAAGCGTCGTTCCATTGTTTTGTTTCCGGCCTCTGGGCAGCAATCGGCACCTTTGCGCCCCAGCAGGTGAGGCACATATAGGCACATGCGACAAGCCAGCGAATCACTACGAAGCCCCAAACCAGTCCTTGCAGGCAGCGCTCTGCTGAACAGCCCGGATGCATGTATCCTTGGATGCAGAACCGCAAAGAAGAACTCGGCAAGGACGGATGACACCAAAAACACCTTCCTGCGGCTTCGAGAATCGTTCGCGCAAGGATCGGCCAGCATCGACTAGCTCCTTCCAGAGATTCGGCGGATGCCCAAAAGGCTGCCGAAGTCAGGAAGAACAGGAGTCATAGGCCGAGAGCGAGGTAAGGATGTGGCTGGGGTTCAAAGGTGAGCATGGCAATGACAGGAAGCCCGCGTTTAGGGAAAGCACTGTCAGACAACAAGAGAACAGGGAAACTCTGGAAGATCAAAGACTCGAGACCTTGGCGCCTTTCGCCGTCAGCCGCGGACCGCCCTCACCTGCCTGCAGAGAAAAGGTCGCAGCGATTCCACACGCGCAGCGTTCATCACAAGGTCCGTGCCTGGTCCTCGGCTTGGGTTATTCGGTCTTTCCACAATGCTTGTCGTTCTCCGTGCCGCGAAACCAAGACCTCTGCTGGCGGCAAGTCTTCCCGTCACCCGATTGCAACCTTCAGCAGCGTGCCCTGACCACCTGTGAGACGACTCCTGACTATCGGCGTCATGGCACAAGCTGCTCCAACGCGGCCCTGGAAGTTGGCAGAAGAAGCAGCAGCAGTGCAATCCACATCAGAACTTGGAACGATGGAAAGTGTTCTGCTTTGATGGACTTTTGGGTATTTTATCCTTATGCAATTTCATCCCAGAACCACGTGACTATGGTGACTATGGTTGATTGTTGGCCAGCCTGTGCACGACTTGAGCAGAAAGGGAAGGAGTGTGCTCGTCCATCCTACTTGCTACAAGCTCTCAGGGTCTCGTGGACACATGTGCGGGAGCCCCCCCCCCCCTCTTTGCCTGCAAGATTTGCGGCGCCAAGCTGAAGCTCAGGGTGTTGACCTAAGATGTGTACGGGCATGCCCAGGTCGCACCCACGTGCTTCAAGCTGTGCAGAAAGCTGTCAGCATGGCTGGACCCTTGAGAATATGCAATTCTCATTCATAAGAATGACACCGGCAGCCATGCCCAAACAAACTGTTGGGTATCCTTGGCTGCCCGGCATATGTTCCCAAGGTGCGGCCCGGCTGGTCCGAGGCAAAGCAGTGCTCGCGGATCTGTACAGGCCTGGCGTCAAAGAATGTTTTTTGCTTGGCTGCAGGCGCGGTGCCGACACAGCAGCCAGCTGAAAGCCCTAGAAGGATACCACGGACATCCACGGAGAATTGCTACGCAATGTACAGACCCAAGGCTGGCCAACCAGAAGAACATCTGCCAAGTCATGCCTCCAGTGGTAGGTGGACTGTATTTGCTCGACATCCTGCACGGCAGGTTGTGAATCCACACATGGAGTGTAGGAACCTCATGCTGGCCCTGCTACAGTACTCGCGCTCGGCTGCCACATCTTTGAGGGTCTGAACTTTCCACCTCATGGAAGAATCCAGAATGAAAGACCTTCATGCCCTCCATGCCACCCATGCCCTCCCACACCCATCTCCTTGGCCGGGACGTCCGAATTGCGCAGTGTCGGCGGCAAAGGTGGAAGGTGTGGCTTCTCGCCCCCGCCAAGGAGCCTCAAGAAAACTCCATGGCCAGATGCAGAAGCCCGAAGAACTGCTACTAAGCCACAGGGCCAGTCTCCTACGACTATTCAGCTTTCTTGGGTCACTTGCCTCCGTCTGAAGCAACCTGAGTTTCTCAACACACATCTTAAGCCAAGCAACGTCAATGGCTTGACTCGCTGCTGCGCTCTCTGCGCGTCTGCCTTCGCCGCCAACTGCGCCTGGATTCTTGGGACATCTGCGGGCCATGTGCGCAACATCACCCATTTTCCCGAATAACTCACCTGCAACTAGCAACTCCATCAACTACCAAGATAGCTCAATGAAGATGTCAGAATCTGTCATGTTGCTGGGCATCCACTTAGAGCACCCGAGCTGTTTATTGGCATCAGCTTGAGAAAGTGTGCTTTGCACATTGCAAGCCGGTAAGGGCGAAATGCCGCAACTTCAAAAAAACCTAAAGACGGCATGTCCCGAAAGTGTTACGATCAACAGAGTGAAGAATAAGAGTTCCGAATGATAGAAAACAAGAGAATGTGTTTCAAAAAACCGCGAGGAGTCTGAAGGCCCGGAAAACACCCAGAGGTGTCTCGATCAGAATTTACAGTGTGCTCGGGTGTGGAGGCGTTTTCGGACTTGCTCGAAATGCAGGGTTGCGGTGCCGCGCGGCATTCGCTCGAGGGGGCAAGGTCAGCTGCATTTCCGAGTTGCCCGATGCACAGGCTGCGGGGCCGTGACACGCGTTCGCTCGAGAAGGGTGGTCGGTCGGAAACGTGGGCTAGCTAACCCGAGAAATGCCGAGGGGGTCGTGGTTCCAACATGGGCGAAGCGCAGGGCTTCCCGCGAGGGCGGCGCGAAAGCGCGCAAAAATCTCGGTCGGTAGTGTTTTCAAACGGGCTCGAAACGCAGGGTACAGGGAAGCGACATGGCGACCTGCTTCGATCGCATCTTCAAGCGCGCTGACAACGCTAGTTTTGGCCGCCAAACTTCGGCGGCCAAAACTACATCATCACCGTAAGGGCGGTCCATGGCACTTTCCAAAGTGCACAAAGAGCGTGGTGTTGGCCTAATTTCGGAGCCCAAAACCCTGTGCACACATGTGTACACCACAAGGGTGGTCGATTTAACAATCGTTGCGTTTCCGACGAGACCCCAAAAGGAAAGAAAACAGTACAGGAAACGCACAAATTGAAAGCGTCGCGGTATATCCAGCGGGCTTGCCCGCCGCCTCAACAACATTTAATTCAAACGGAAAAGAAGAGGGAAAACAACAACAAAAGAACAAACAAACAAACAAACAGCACACACACACAAACACACACACACACACACAAGCAGCAAAACAAGCAAAGCAATATGGGGAAAACAGGACAAGAAACGAACCCTCGTTGAAACCCCCTTCACAACGCTTTCGGGAAACGGTGGCATGCTGCACATGCAGCTTGCCTGTCTGCACTACGTGCAGAACTTAGAAATGCGACCCTGCATATGACACATCAAGATACGTCAAGTGGAACATACTAGTTTCAGATACTTTCACACTGTTCCATTATGTTTCACAGCACTGCTGACTGTGGGCCGCTGGCAGCCTTGAAACAATGCACCATAATGCACCCTCACAGGGGCATGGAGCAACCGCTTTTTGATAAATCCGGGGGCAGCTGAGCTCGCCTGTTGTAACGATGCCCAACATGCCCACAGCCCAGATGTTCCTGCATATTGAGAAAGCGGAATGCGCCGCAAGGCAGTGACTCCAAAAAGGAGTTCGTACCCGCCAGCAAACGCAAATTGAAAGGAATGGAAAGGGATGAAACATTGCTTACTTCTGCCCAGACCTGTCAAGTCAGGTGAGCCAGAAGTTCCATCTCAGAATGCCATGGCAAGATTCCGCGCACAAACTGAGCATGCGAGTTGCCTGCCTTCAGGGCGCACACTTCATGAAACCAACGCTCTCTTCAATCTATTCTCTGCTGCCAATGTTATTCTGCCATCTAGGCCGCACCTTCTGCGTCTGGAAATCAATTCGCCGTGACAAGCTGCTGTACCGCACCGCTGTCCCCGCCGCAGGCTGCGTTTCCCCAGGTGACAAGCTGTACACCACCAACAAGGGCAGCGAAGGCGCCGCAGGAAGCCGCTATCTGCTGTACCTACATGGCGAGCATGCAAGCGAATGGCGCCTAGTGTTTTAACATGTTTTAACTGTTAAGTCACAACGGAATGATCGGTTGCGCTTGCCCTCCAGCAACATGTCTGGCCTCTCTCAGCTGATCTTGGACAGCACTACTGTCTCCACCATGGTTGGCACTCCCCCAAGTCACCACACGCCCACTTCCCAGAACTGCGGCAAAGGCATAGTTCGACGCGTGGATTTCCCGCACATCTGTAAGCTGCTCTTGCACCCTGCTAGAATCTCCGCCGTAGGCTGGTGAACCCCAAGTGACGACACGCTTGTTCCGCAGGAGTGCGGCAAATGCAAAGCCACAGGCTTGAACATCTTCAACATCGATCAGCTCCTTCTGCACCTGTCGGCTGTCTCCGCCGTATGCTGCTCCACCCCAAGTGACCACATGCCCATCCTCTCGAATGGCTGCAAAGGCATGGTTGGAAGCAGCGATCGACCGAACGTGGTGCAATTCTTCCTTGACATTGCTGCTGTCGCCACCGAAGATTGGAGCTCCCCACGTTACCACGTCTCCATTGCTCAGAAGAGCTGCAAAAGCGAAAGCCGTGGCCCGAATTTGCTTCACATTTCGCAGCTTGTCTTGGACGGAGCTGCTATCGGCACCGTAGATTGACGTGCCCCACGTCACCACCCGACCATTCTTCAACAGTGCTGCAAATGCTCCACCAGTGGCTTGAACTTGCTCGACATCCTGCAGCTGCTCCTGGACTGCACTGCTGTCACCACCATAACTCGGCCAACCCCAGGTCACAACCTTGCCGTTTCCAAGAATCGCCGCGAAGGCATAGTTGGATGCGTGGATCTCTTGCACGTCTTGCAGTTGGTGCTGCACAGCGCTGCTGTCACCTCCATGCTTTGACAGCCCCCAGGTCACGACGGAGCCATCTCGAAGAATGGCAGCAAACGCATTGTCGGAGGCTCGAACTTGATGGACATCTTGCAACTGTGCAAAAGGCACGCTTTTCTGACCAGAGACACAGCATGGACTGCCCCAAGTAATCACAGAGCCGTCGGTCTGAATCATAGCGAAAGATGTGGAAACCCGGGCAGATGCAAGTGAGGCTTGACGCACGAGTGCCGTGACAAGGTCCCCATCTTGCAAACCAGCATCAGCCAGAGTGCATGTGGGTTCCAGAACCTGCAGACAGCCGCTGTGTCAAGAAACACTGGAAGCAACACAACACCTGACAAACGAAATCAAACAGATGTTCATAGGGGCGAGGTACTGCGCTTCTTGCAGTGACAAGGCTACCGATGCCCAGTTTCAGTTCGCGCTGCAGTTTTGCACGAAGCTCTTTCACGGTCCAGCTCGGATCCGCAGCGACCGACTGAGTGCGTCCACTGATCAAGGAGATCTGGAGAGAGAACGGTGCAGAACACTTGCACATCGGTTGCTGTCGTAGGCAGCGTCCTTTGAATTAAGCTTGCAGCACAAAAAAGGCCGCAGACTCTAGCACCCCGTGCACCCAATGGCAAGATGTTAGTGAGGCTTGCCATGCAAGCATGCTGAAGTAAACTATGCTGTTCTGGAGCCTTAGTCGTGTTGCTGCTGGATCGGCTGAGAGCAAGAACAGATGTGCATCGGGCTAACACAGCCCCGAAAACATGCAATTCATGTGGGGCCCGTTCTCCCTCCCAGAAAGAACAGCATGCCTTTATGCCCTTCCACTTCTGCTGCCGGAGAGTCCAGGAATTCCTTAGCCGAGGCGCAAAGGGCAAAGGGAGCAGTAGAAAGAAGAAAGTCTGGCACCGAAATTTATAGAAGGAACTGCAGCCAGGCAAAAAGGTCAGCTTCCCTCGCCAGTGCTGTGGAGAAGAAGCCACAAGAGCCTACGATGTCCTGCCATGCTCAAAGTCCAGCCAGGACGCTGCTCATCAGTCACCCGTGGGGTCCGAACAGTGCGAGGAGTGAGCTGCACAGATTCCGGCAGCTTCGCCAAAGAGGCGAACTGAACAGGAAAGGAAATCGTGGATGCACGCAACGTCAGCACTGAGAAAGCGGTCTCCTGTGCATCGCGCATACCATGGATCTGTGCGCAGGCCTCCACCATAGAGCTTGCCAACACCTGAGCACTCAACACATTGTCCCATGTCGCCCCCTGCAAGTATCTGTCCAACTGCTGCGCGGAGAGCCAACAGTAGACGCAGAAAACCTTTCCGCATTAGCATCTTCTCGCAGGGTACTTAGCGGGCCACGCAGGCTTTTGTTCCAAGCAAGTTTCGAAATAGGTCCGACTATGGCCGTGCAACAAAGAAGGAGTGGAAGGCGCTAGAACAGGGCTGCCGAAAGTATATATGAATTATATACATTGTATACAATATATATATATATATATATACATTATATATACATTATATATACATTATATATACATTATATATACATTATATATACATTATATATACATTACATATGCATTATATATACATTTATATATACACTATATATATATATATATATATGCTACCCCCCCCCCCCAAAGATCTAGGTATTTTCATGATTTAGCGATATCAAGTTGAATACTTGCATGGGCCCGGAGGCGATGTGAAGTTGAAGATGTAACCGCCATTTAAACCTGAACCCTTAACCGTAAAACCCTTTTGGGTTAAGGCTTAAAAGGTTTAGGCCTTAAGATTTAGGCATTTAAACCTAAGCCCATCGAGTGTAAATCTTAGCGTACAGGGCCTAAACACTTAACCTTTAAGCCCTATAGGCTATAGGGCTAAGGTTTAATGGTTTAGGGTTTAAGTTCAATAGCAGGCCCATAGAGTTAAAGCCTTAAGGGGCCTAAACGCTTAACCTTTAGACCCTATAGGCTATAGGGTCAAGGTTGAAGGGTTTTGGTTTTAAAAGTAAGTCTATAGAGTTCAGACCCTAAGGGGCCTAAACGCTTAACCTTTAAACCCTATAGGCTATAGGGTTAAGGTTTAAAGGTTTAGGATTCAAGATTTAGGCATTTAAACCCAAGCCCACCTTAAGGGTTTAGGGTTTTAAACCCTCAGGGCTTAAGAAATACCCTAAGCCTTTGGACCCCCCTTAAGGTTTAAGCTCTATGGGCTTGTGTTTTAATGCCAAAATCTTAAACCCTAAGCCTTTCAACCTTAACCCTATGGCCTATAGGGTTTAAAGGTTAAGCGTTTAGGACCCTTAACCTTAAGGGGCCTAAACGCTTAACCTTTAGACCCTATAGGCTATAGGGTCAAGGTTTAAGGGTTTAGGTTTTAAAAGTAAGCCTATAGAGTTCAGACCCTAAGGGGCCTAAACGCTTAACCTTTAAACCCTATAGGCTATAGGGTTAAGGTTTAAAGGTTTAGGATTCAAGATTTAGGCATTTAAACCCAAGCCCACCTTAAGGGTTTAAGGTTTTAAACCCTCAGGGCTTAAGAAATACCCTAAGCCTTTGGACCCCCCTTAAGGTTTAAGCTCTATGGGCTTGTGTTTTAATGCCAAAATCTTAAACCCTAAGCCTTTCAACCTTAACCCTATGGCCTATAGGGTTTAAAGGTTAAGCGTTTAGGACCCTTAACCTTAAGGGGCCTAAACGCTTAACCTTTAGACCCTATAGGCTATAGGGTCAAGGTTTAAGGGTTTAGGTTTTAAAAGTAAGCCTATAGAGTTCAGACCCTAAGGGGCCTAAACGCTTAACCTTTAAACCCTATAGGCTATAGGGTTAAGGTTTAAAGGTTTAGGATTCAAGATTTAGGCATTTAAACCCAAGCCCACCTTGAGGGCTTAAGGTTTTAAACCCTCAGGGCTTAAGAAATACCCTAAGCCTTTAGACCCTATAGGGCTGAAAGGTTAAAGAGAGCGTAATGTCTGGGCATTTATACATTCAACGCCTATAGGGTTAAACCCTGTTAACGTTTTAGAGCCCTACAGGGCTTCAAGGTTCTGACCCTAAAGGGCTTAGGGTTATCGTTTCAATGCTGAAACCTTAAACCCTTAAGGCTTAAGCTCTATGGGCTTGTGTTTTAATGCCAAAATCTTAAACCCTAAGCCTTTCAACCTTAACCCTATGGCCTATAGGGTTTAAAGGTTAAGCGTTTAGGACCCTTAAGGTTTAAACTCTATGGGCTGACTGTTGAACTTTTCAACCCTAAACCTTTAAACCTTCACCGTATAGCCTACAGGGCTTAAAGGTTTAGCCCACGATCCCGAAACACCGCAAAAACCAATAAGAAACATAAAAACTATGGTTTCTGAAACTACTCGGCCGGCCACCCCAGCCACTAGTTTCGAAAATCATGGTTTTTGACATGGTTTTTTTTTTGTTTTTTGCGATGTTTTGGGAGCATGGGCTCACGAAACATCGGTTTTACTGATGTTTTTTAGAGGTAGGCCTTCAATAACATTGGTTTTACCTATGTTTTTTGAAGGTAGGCTTTCAAAAACATTGGTTTTACCGATGTTATTTTGAAGGTAGGCTTTCAAAAACATCGGTAAAACCGATTTTTAGCGTGGGACCCACGCTCCCGAAACACCGCAAAAACCAATAAAAACCATAAGACTGAGCCAGCCACTGGGATGCGAGCCATTGCGAGTATTACAAACACAAATGGTCAAGTATATTTCGAGTGGAATGTCTGCGAAGACACGTGATCTTGAGCGACGTCACGAAAGCTAATTCTGACACTTTACAAGACGTGAACCCGATTGAAAAACGATTGAAACGATTGAAATTCAATCGGGGGCCCGATTGAAAAACGATTGAAACGATTGAAATTCAATCGGGGGCCGGATTGAAGATTGAAGATTGAAGATTCCCAGAAAAAAGCTTTCCGGGAATCTTCAATCTTCAATCTTCAATCCGGTCTCCGATTGAATTTCAATCGTTTCAATCGTTTTTCAATCGGGCCCCCGATTGAATTTCAATCGTTTCAATCGTTTTCAATCGGGCTCACAATTTGAAAATACGACCACGCACATATGAAGACTCGCACATATCAAGATTTACATGTCCATATTGAGATTTCCATGTTTAGCTAGCCCCCCACCCCCAACCCTAAAACCCTAAAACAGATCCCAAAACCAGGAAAATACCTAGATCTTTGGGGGGGGGTACCATATATATATATATATATATATTATATATATACATTACATATACATTATATATACATTATATATATATATATATACATTATATACACATTATATACACATTATATACATTATATACATTATATACATTATATACATTATCTACATTACATACATTACATACATTACATACATTACATACATTACATACATTACATACATTGTATACATTATATATATATATACATGATATACTTACATACATACATTAAAAACATAAACACATACCGTGCTGAGTGTCAGCACAGGTTACAAGACTAATTACTCCGGAGCCAGGCGCTCAGAGACGACCCCCCCCCCCATCCCAAAAAACACACACACACACACACACACACACACACACACACAAAAACAGCGCTTCGGAACAGGTAAGGAGAAATACCATATTATGCATATGTATATATGTGTATACGCAACCCACCCCAATCATTGATCATTGAACTACTGTACTGCTTACATTGCTGGTCGTCGAGCTTCTTAATGATGGAGCAGCCGAGAATGCGAACCACTACAACACCAACCACTAGATTTCGCCAACCATAAAGTCCGTCACAACCTGAACCGCTAAAAACTACTCGCCATGAAGTCTTACCTACCTCCTCATTATCTGGTAAGTTGTGGCTGCCAAGAAGCAAACGCTCAAGATCGCAACGAACCTATGGCTTGTGAAGCTTCAAACCCTCAAGACTATCATAACCCTACGTTTCCAATGTTTAGAGATGTTCGTGTGCGAACATTCCACAGTTTGCCTTGTGTGAAACTTTGGGGTTTGCAGGAGAATGCGCTTGTAAGAGGCTGCTCATCTCCTTCAGAATAAGACCTATGGGGGGCAGTTGCATCCAACGCGACAAGCTTTTCTTTCCAAAACGGATTTCTATTTTGATCTTGGGCATATACGTTCAATCGAACTAAAAAAGCATCTAAAAATACTTGCGGGGCAAAATCCTCAAAAATGTGCAAACATTTGCATCCAACCCGACAAGCCTCTTATCGTGAAGTCTTTATGTGAGGGTCGTGTGATGTCCCTATGTTCATCAGTCTTCATAGTGCGAAAATGAGGAATGCTTATGGCCATTCTTTAAAAAGCATCTGAAACATGGCCGACTATGGATGAGTATTTCGATGTTTCGATGGGAGATCTGCACGGCGTTTTACCCGGGAGGGGTTAGGGGCGCATCTGCATATCACAAAGTAAGATGAACCAAGCATAGAAGAAATGCTGCATCACGTACTCCGCATCTGTTGCAGCTTGCGCGCGAGTGTCCCAGTAGCGGTCCTTCACTGCCA